ACCAGCTTGAAATTGTTTTCTATTCACTCCGACACAGGAGACTGCATTTCACATTCTTCTTCCCAGGAGCGCCTTGCACCACAGAAACCACAGTTATATCAAATTTCTCATTATGACTGCTTAATTAGGCAAAGGAGTTGGTAAACTTATCAAAAGATAAGCACAGTCTGACATTTTGATTACAAACTTCTTCAAACACTCAACTCTCTGTGAAGTCCTGCTCACACTGTGACTGCAGCAAGATACAGAAACACAGTTACCTGCTCCAAAACACATCAACCTTTCCATTTTTATCTTGACTGTGGCTTTTTTACAGTCCTCCATCACTCCTTCTGAGTAGTGCTGGAATCAAACAGCTCTAAATGAGTGTTTGAGGCTAAAGGAGTGCTCCCCAGTTCTCAGCTAAGGTGGTGGGGGTGGGTACAGATCCCCCCGTCTGAGCAGGCTGTGCACAAGCCTTAGCCCAGGTTGTCTCCTATGGCTGAAAAATACAGAAAACTGTTTGCTACAGCCATTGAGCAGAACTCTGCTACTATAATGAGCTACATATGCAAGCCCCTAAGCCCTTATTGAGGAAGCATTAATTACACATTGTGAAAAATCAGCCAGCAAACTAGAAGGTGACAAACTGGTGCTTGCTGACATTCTGCTCTCATGGGCTTATCTCAGTGCAGGACTGTGGGGGAAAACATCCCATTTCCTTAGGCCAGACTAGGATACCTCCAGCAAGCCTGCAACCTTTCCTCTTAAAAGAGGCCTCTTGCTCGGCTGACCTGTGGTCAAGGGAGCAGTCTTAGTGCACCACGGTAGGAGGAGAGAGCAAGCAAGATCAGGGATACCACTGAGCACCCACAGGCCAATGGGAAACACTGAGGAGCTGGTTCAGTGACCCTGCCTGGATGAAAATTCCCAATTAAAAAATCTGGGTAAGAAAAATACTGATGGGCACATAAGCATGCACCTGTAGCTCTTAGATGCATTTAATTAATAGTACATTAGCACCAAAACTGTTGGAACACCTGAAGTGCGATGGAACCAAGTTTTAATATAGGTCTCATCAAATCCTGACCTTCACAAAATCAAAGTGTTCATTTTGCAACTTCACTCTGGCACTCCCCTCCCCTTAGTCCATTGATGCTCAGTGCAGCCCCACAGCCCCCACAGGAAGAGAGCTAGTTTCACTGTAGCTTTTTTAAGTTTTTTGGAGACTACCAGAGCTAGTGAGTGGCTGGAGGCAGTGTGACAGCTCCAAATATTGTCAGTCCAATTAAACTGAAGATAAAATAATTTTTTCACTCCAATGCATTGTCCTATTTATAACTCCATGTGCTGCAGAGCAGCAGAGTGACATAATATGTCACTATCAGATATTAAAGAAAAAACAAAACAGGAACACAGAAGAAGCCTGGAACTAGCAGACTTTTCCCACAGATGAAACTGCGTCCTCACATGCTAAAATAACTAGCACTGAAATATTTTGCCATTTGCCATCATGAAATTCCAAAAATTTCACCAAGGTACAGCAATTTCACCTTTCAGATTTAAAGCCCCAGCCTTTCTTTGGATTTGTTATTTCTGCATCAGGGAGAACATGTTTACAAAGGTAGGTTGTTTGTGTTCCTCTCCCTCCCCAACAGCAAAAGACAAAATTTAATAGACTGCAAGTCAGAAATTGGCAAAGCTCAGCCTCAAAAATATAATACATCTGCCGTGACATAAATATGGTAAAGAAAAAATATCAGTTGCATCTCTTCTCCCCCTACACTCTGGACTTTTAACTTAATAAACACTGTCAAAATGCAGCTAAAGAAAATACTTTGCTTTACTGAGTCTGTGCAATGAATGACCTGAACTTTCTGGTAGCTTAAAAGGATAACACGACTTCGCATCTTCACCAGCAGTATGTACGTTTCAGAATGGTTTTAGATGTGCTTGAGAACATCATTGCAGATAAACCCATTTCACCTTTCGTGCTCCTTCAGGGCTACTCAACGTCAGCCTCCCTGCTGGTGCTTCAAGCATCCACCGCTTTGCTCATTATAAAGCACATCACATTTTCCTGCTCCTCCCGCCAGCAGAAAAAGAACTGCTTAGGAAGAAAAGGAGTAAGCTCCACTCATTTCAGGAGAGATTTGAATAGTTTATTTTGCCCAATCAAGAGCCCTTCAGCATAATGACACATTCATATACACATATATGAACATTTTTTTTCTGAAACATTAATGTATAATACATTTTAAATTTAAAATACCAGCTGCACAGGTATTTTTATTTACAAAAATATTCCATACTTAATTTTTTAACTTCATTATGATGACATATTTCAGTCCAAGTACATGTAAGTAAAATAACTCTATGCAATCTAACATAGTTGTGTTTGTAACAGTACAGTTTGCAGTTCATATGAAACTATATTTGTAGACAGATGGATTTGCAACCCTACCTAAAAATGCATATTCCAGTAATCATCCTCAGAAGAGCTAGTGGGGCTCAGCAAGACTTAACTGAAGAATAAGTTGCAATGAACATAAAGGAAAAAGAAAGCACACATGTACACACTAACATATACATAAACGAGAACTGCTACACATCAAGCATGCTTACCCATGAGTGGGCAACGTTAGAAAAATTTACGGATGGTTGGTTTTTTTTTTCCTCCATGGTGCTGGTACAATGAAACAGCAGCGTAACTAGAAAGCAGCAAGTTTTCCTAGTTCTAACCACTACAGATAGCAGAGCTCAGGTCTAAAATAAACACAGTACTGCTTATTTACAATTCTGTTTTAAAAGGGAATATTTAAAACATGTTCCCACCCCTCTCCCTTTGCATCACCTATTACTGAATGGTAGTGGTAATCCACATACAACTCCTTAAATGTTTTCAACTGAAACAGTTTAACTTCTAGTTATTTGCCTGGTAATATGTAACTAACAAAAATACTAACAAAAAGAAATACAAGTATAAAGGTAACCTACAGCAGTAGGTTAGCTTAAACATTTCTAGGCGCACATGGAAATATTAAAGAAATACTGATTGACACCTTTCATTTGATTGTTCATTGTTTCTGCCTCATTTCTCTTCTCCCCCCCTCCCTTGTTAAAAATGAATGCCCACTTCTTTAAGCCTGAACTTCATAACATGTAAAAGAACCCAGAAATGCAGCACACTCATCTGGCTTGAAACAGTAATAGAGTAGATATATAGCACATCTTTATAATGGGCTTAAGAAGAAGAAATTGGCCCAGTTTAATTTAGCTTTTCAATGAAAATTTAAGTAAAATCGGTTTAGCTGATTCACCTACACTACACATTTTTTTTTATTCGGTTTTACTTACTTCCTCCCCTCAAACACGATTAATCTCTGTCTACAAAGTATTTGAAGATTTTGCAGTAGTAGCAAAGGTATCAACATCCACCCAAAAAGATTCACATAAACTATCCAGAAAATTGGTTAGAATGAGCAAAGATTCAACTGACAAGCTACCTTTCTACTTGGAGGGAGGCAAGGCACTGCACTCCTTCACTCCTGAACTGGACTTTGGCTGCAGCCAATGCCTGCCCTGGGATGTTAAACCATGACAAGAAAGTAGAGGGCACTTCAGCCACAGGCCATTAAATTTTCCAACACATATCTGGGTTACAAAAAAAACCCTAATCCACAAAAAAACCCAACCAAGATTTTCATGTAAAGAGCTGATGTATAATCAAGATACACAGATTAATCAAAGAAAATGTTTATTGGACAAACCTCACTTCAATTTTGGAGAATTTTAAAAGTTTGAGAAATAGGGCTGAAAAAAGTCTCTTGTGTTTACCAGAAAAAACCAAAACATAGAACAGCAGTCAGCCACAGACTGCACCTATTGAGAAAACTTTCACATTAGGCTAGTTTTCTATCTTCTCATTCCATACTTAGGGAATTGTTAAAGAATGTTCAAAATGGGAGGTAAAAATAACTGATTATTTTCTGCAAAGCAAAACGGGCAATTTGTTTTCATTGCTTAGTAATTGTATCATCTCGATATGAGATATGAATGTATTCATAAGCTTAAAACAACTTCTATGGATAATATACATACTTTAAGTACTTTGACTTAAAACTTGAACGTAAGTCTTTCTAAAATTAAAGGTAGAAGTGTACATATAAAAATTATTTAAAACTAAAAGTATATTCTTAAGCAGTATGTATAAATATAACAGATTTTTTTTGCATTATCTAGTAATAAATGTGAAAGTGTTGCAGTAATTTATAAACTGAATGCTGACACAGGATATGTGCCTTTAATTAGACTCTATACTGTATATACATATTTTGCTAAGAAAACACACATTCTAAATAAATCACATGATTAGCAAAGGTGCCTGAAAGTAATCTGTTTTAAAGTCTTTATTGAACATGTGTGTTTATATACAAATAATGAACCTGAACTGCACAAATGTAGAAAAAAAATTAAGGAATAAAATACCATGATTGAATTAAAGTGCAGGAAAAATTCAAGTTTAAAAGTTCAGGTAAGATCAGTGCTGTTAATTAAGAAAAGAAACAAACCAAAAAAGCCAAACAAAAATTCCCCAAGCCCCCCTCCCCTCAAGCCCCCCCCCCTCCCCCCCAAAGAAACAGAAAAACCAAAGGAAAAGAGAAGGGAAAAAAAAAAGAAAATGAACTTGCTTCCAAAAATTCTCCTTTGGATGTAGCTTTCCAATATCACCTGCCATGCAAGTACCACCTCAGGCACAAAAACCTTGCATAAAGACAGACAAGGAACACAGCTATATATTACTATATTTTAGAACTGACTGTTTGCTGAAGAACAAATCACTGGAGATGCCTGTGGTGTAACACTTTCAGACTGATTTCGAACACACGCATATTTACACATACCAGGATTCAAAAGTTACAATTTGGCAGGACTAAGGTGAAGAAAAGCTTCTTCAATTGACAGTTCCTAACGAGACACACTACATATAAACAGATAGGTAGCAGCAGTTTCTTACTTTCATCCAAAAAAAAAAAAAAAGTAATAGCTCAATTGTATTTTATAGTTTTCCAGACACTCTGAAAAAGTTTCACACAACTAAAATGCTAGTGAAAATACCAGGGGTGCTTCCCCACAAGGATTTCAATTTACTTTGCTGTACAAAAGGTGCACCACCAATAGCAGAACAAGATGCAATGATGTATCTATGATAAACTTCCTTCCACAGGGAAGGAAAAAGGAACATTTTAGACTAAAATTGTACATAGCCCCTTTTATTGACCAAGAACCATTTGTGTGTTTATCTCATGAGCAATCATTTCATTAGTCTTCATATCTAGAAGCATACTCTGAACTTAACCAACAAAAGAGATTCAACTATGATAGATTCTATAATATCAAATAAGCCACTACTCTTCTTGTACTGGCAGATGGTCTCTCACTGCCTCTTATTTTTTTGCTTGCTGGTGGTTGTCAAATGTGTCTTGATGAGAAAGTTAAGTACATTTCCTTTCACGTCAAGGTCATCTTCCATTGAATGATACCATGATTTATTGAAAAGTAATTTTACCATCCTCTCAACCGGAGCCTGGCCAGATTAATTTCAAGGATTCTATTGCCTTGAAATATAGTTTATCTTCACCTGGTCAAATAATAATCAGTCATCTCAATTTATAAACGTTGAGATAAGGAAGGGAACAAGTGTCAGCCAGGGTATTTTATTTTCGTATGTGGTATGGATATGAGTTTATCTAGTTTTCTTCTACCTGGATTTTTAACAAAATGGTGTTAATTTAAATATGCATTAATTAGACACTAAAAAATAAATTAACATGCAGAGGCAAATATTGCATGGCAAGCTGAGTTAAGCAACTGGAGTTAACATTGCCTCAGTAAGTATGGGAGAGAGCCGTCAAGAAAGCAGTGTTGCTTGTTCAAATTGTCACGTTCTCATAAGTCCTTTGAACAGTGGATGTGGTATGGCATGCCCTCATATTGGCAAAAGAATTCACTTGTCTTTTTAAATTAAATGCTACTATAAAGCAGGAAAATTTATCAGTTTGTGCTACAAAGCCCAAACATATTGGCCTCTCATTTAAAAAGCGAAATTAAAAACCATCAGTAACTTCAATATTTTGCATCCTTTAGGTGTTTTGTAAGGTTGCCTTATCTGTGTACCTGCAACATCACAATACAAATATAACCAAGGTTTTGCTTTGGGAACATTCAAAACATTTGTGAAAAAAGCAAACAAAACAATGCTTGGAGAAGCAAACTCAAATGATTAATTTCAGACAATGCAGACCTATCAGCTTCTAAGTACTCCCTTTTATAAGGCAAAACCAGTCAGTAACTATTTCTACTTTGAGGAAAAATGTCTAAATAAATTTTTGAAATGCAAGCATTTATTTTAAGAAATCTTCTCAAAAAGAGCTCTGGGTCATTCCCACAATATCAGCTTTAGTGCAGTAACCTAAAGTTAGTAAGTTAACTCAGCTGTATTATTTACCTCACCCAAACTGGAATTATTTCACCAATTCCTAAAGTTTCTGTGCACACTTTACCACTGTTTATATTGACAACACTGCTTTAGAAACTAAATCCAAACTTCAGGCCAACTGCCTTAGTGATGAGTGGGGCTGAGACAGGTACTTGTAAAATAGCTCTACTAGCAGAACTCAGAGATTTGCTAAACCACATACTGACAATTGGTAAATATTAGATGCTTGCTTGCCATTATTCATGCATCAGCACCTCCATGGCATGTAAAAGTTTGAAAACCTGAGTCCACGGTTATCTGATTTCATAGTAAAGGGACTAAAGGGGCATCTAGAACTCAAGTTTTGAGCAAAACCCTCTCAGCTATTTTAATTAATGGCTGTAAAGACACATTCTGTTAAACATTTATAAAAACTCACAGCATGAATGGAACCCACAGCCATTTCTAAATGTTACACAACCTTAACCAATAACTACTTTTGGCAAAAAAATGGCATTTAACTAAACAGAAGTTGAAGTATTCTTACCACAATGAAGATGTTACCACATTTCACATTGCACGGCCATAACACAAATGAAAACTCCCAGCATGACACATTCCAGTCATATTATTCACTTGACTTTTTTAATGCAAAAATTATGTTTTCTTTTGTTTTGCACTTCACAGAATATGATGTGAATACAAGAATACTAGATCAGGGGTCCAAGAAAAGACTATGCACAGGTTAACTACGTGTACAGTTTTCAACAAGGAATCTCCCAAGCTTCCAGTTTCTCCGATGAAAGAAGTGACAGCAAACTTCAACTCTTCTTCAATGATAATGGTAAATACAGTGAGTCCTAGAGATGGTAAGTGTAAGTCAGGTACTGTCCAGCAAGACAAACCACTTAATTCCAGCTCTTGGACCCCTGATTTATTGCCGCTCCTCACAGGAGGGTATAACACTGACAGCAATTACAATAGCACAAAAACTTTTGGCATATGAAATATTAACACAGGATTGACCCTGCATTGCCCCTGCCCATCTCACACTATGTTTTCCCTTTACTTTCTTTTCCACATCTTCTAGTTACTTTCTCAGTTCCACCTTTCTTCTAACCAACAGCTAAGAAACACTCAAGTTTGTTTTGTGTATGTGTTTCTTAGATATAAAGCTCCTCAGTTAAAGCCATGACTGAGGTAAAACAGTGTGTCATTTGTGCTAGGAAACAACAGTATCCAACGGTGAATACTCCTTTAAATTTCAGTGGTCCTGCCAAAATTAATGAAAAAACAAGATTTTTTTTCCATCAGGACAAAATTAAACAGATGTAATTGATGAGCGTCATCAGAATTGGTACCACTTCTTGTCTTTGTACTTCAACATCATCTAAAAAAAACCAAAAAACAATTTCTAATTACTGTTTCTATAATGTACCAAAACATACAATGACACAAATTATATGATTACAAAGCAGCATGAGAAAGAGGGATTCTAGTAAGGCTTCTGAAAGCTACAGCAACAACATTGCTGAACAGTGAGGGTTTAGCATGATGAATTTTTTAATGGTAGCAGGATTGCTGGTGATCTGGCCTCAGAAAAAGGCATATTTGAGAGAACAGGACGTTTGCACAGGAGTTCAGGAGTTCACATGAAAATGGATGAGAACAGCCATTCTATGTAGCTACTGAGGAGAAAGACTAACTTGCATTCGTGGGGTTTGCGTACAACTGGATCTTTCTTAAGGACCGCGGGAATCTGATAGAGCATTACTCTTCTTATTAATTCTACTCTTATTAATTCAGCAAAAATTTTTTCAAAAATGGGAATTGAGTTACAATTTTAGAAGCTTATGTGCCACTCCAGCAGACTGCGTGCTCTAGACCAATGTGCCGCAAGACAAAGCTGTTCAGGTTAGTACTTAATTATTAGGACTAACAATTGATAGACAAAAGGGAAGTATCCTTTATCAATGATACTGCATTCTCTTTAGATACCTCTAACATGCCTTTGCAGAACTCAGATACTTGCAGAACTTGCATTATTTGACAATCAATGTTCAGTTTAACATACTTACCTCATGAGCGTGTTTTGAGAAAGAATCAGCACTGTAAAGCATAGCTGCAGTCTTTTCTTCCAGTTCTCCTAGTTTCTGTCCTCTTTCATCTAATGCCAACCGGGCTCGTGCTAGTTCACCAACCACACCAGATGCTGCTCCTTTGACACCTTCAATACCTCCAGGTCCTGGAATATGCTGGGCAAGACTCCTTGATGCCTTCCCAGATGCTGATTCTCCAACTGGAGGCATTTGCAAAACAGCAAAAACAGAATAGTAAGGTTTTCCATCATTATTAAATAAATATCAATGAAACTAGTTTATACAGAGGTGCAATTTCTTTGCATGGAGACCCAACACCTAATTGTAGGTGTGACTATGAGCAACACTCACTACACAATGTTATTAGATATTACTACTTAATAAAACTGAGATTTTTCCAAGTTTGCAGGCAGGTTATAAAACTGTAACCTCTTCGCAGCTCAAGTGTGAAATTAAAATGCTCAGCAGTGCTAGCATCACGGTCATCAACAGAATTGTGCTGGTGAAGTGTTTTTTAACAACGTAGCTTATTTCTCATGAAACATGTTATGAGTTCAACAGACAAAGCAGGATAATTTTGAAAATACAAGCTGTGGTCGGTTCTGGAAGTGCTTTGCTGGTGTGTAAGCCAGCCAGTACGACTCCACCAGCCGAAGTTTCCTGATGGAAGTTCAATTTTAGATGCAGACACCTGAAGATTAGGTATCTATGCTCTCACTATTGTAAAAATCTTGAAAAAAAAAAAAGCAATGTAAACCATAAAAATATAGAATGACTGTAAGAACAAACCACCTCATCCTATAGTAAACACCCACGAATGGTGAGCTGTACAGCTGAACAGCTCCAGACTCCAGTGCTGGCACTGACTACATCGACTTTGCTCCTAATGGGACATCAGCCACCTAGTTCATTCTAGACCATTAATGGATGTGCTAATCTCATGCTGAATTGTTTACACTACAAAAACTTGAGGGTTTTTTTTCAAACATTAAGATATAGTTTAAATATTTTCTTTTTTTCAGCTCTAGGAAAAATAATATTGTTAATATATTTTGATGCAGTACTTCAAGATTCTCATTTGATTTTATGCTTCTATTAAGAATAATTTACATTTACTAACACTATAAACATCTTTCTGTGTACTTCCATAAATAAAAAAGAGAACTCATTTCACTTATGACAGACATTGCTGTGACCCTCATGGTAAATACGGCTACTCTAGAGACATTCTCAGACGTCTTTTGAATTGTCATTAAACTCAATTTCAGGCTACAATTCATTATGCTTTTTTTTTTTTCCATTAAATATTATTTTCCTTGTGAAGATCCAAGCCAAAACTTGAAATTATGTAAAGAGGCAGCTTCTAAAGTTATAAGGTATTTTCCCCTGTCCCAGTCATACTATTAAACTATAATTTGTGCACACAAACTTCTCTCCTAGAATATTTCACCAACCTTCTGAAGTATTATCTATATAAATAGAAATCTTTAACACAGAAAGTGACCTCTAAATATCTGATGTCTGTTAAAAATGCACAGGAACAAGCAATGAAGTCTAATTGAATTTCTATTGTAGAGATCTAAAGAACCAATGTAAGAGAAAGGATTGCCAGGGCACCATGTTCATTTAAACAAGTATGTTTCATGTTAATAAGGAAACAGTTCTTATAAATAAACTTGCATAATATGGTGCTGCACCTAGCAAATCTCTGAATAAGTAGAAGGTTTTTTCTTTAAATATATTAAAGTGCTGAATGCTACAGTAAAAAAGAAATGTGTAATTAAAAAAAAAAAAGAGAAAATGATAAAGCAATGAAAATTTTGCCAAATCTGAATTTTACTGTCCTATAAACAGAGGACTGAATCGAACTATCAAACACTTCTGTCCTTCCTTGCAATTCCTAAGGCATCTCTGCACAAATCAACTGAGTAAAATCTGGCAAAATAACTGAACTAGAGTGGAGTCTTAATTTCCCCACTGTCCAGAACAGCATTCTCCAAAAACATTCCCTTTCAGTTTACCAGCATAAACAGCACCACGGTCAGTACTACACAATTCACAAAGATGAATAAAAATAAGATTAGTTGTTCCATTTCTTGTCTTATAATCTGCTCCTGAATAAATGAGGTAAAAGAGCCTGTGAAAAAAACAAGCTTTTCTGATCTTGTTGGTAAGGTGTACAACATAAAAAAGATACAAAAAAAGTATTTGTCACTGCCTTTTTTACTTTCCTCTTTACAAATGTTATGTTCTATTTACACAGGTAATACATTTATCAAGGATCACTGCCTTTCTTGGGTAGAAATACCAGAAAAATAACAAAGAATAAAAACTTACACAGTTCTTCTCTGTCAAGTGACTGTGCCCCACCTCCAAACAGGCCTTTAAAGAACCCTCTGTTTGGTGCTTCTGGTGTTTCTACAGGAGTGAAGAGCTCACCCAACATTTCCTTTGCAATGAAGAAGGGACATAACAAGGCATACATTACTAAAATTAATGTAATGCTCTCACTTTCAGGATTTATTTAACTGATTTGCATTTCAAAATCAATATGCTTAAATGGACATCTGCCTTTGCAAGGCAACTTAGGAAATATAAAAACACAGTAAGAAGATCAAACCTTCTGTTCTGACGTCTGCAAGCTTATAGCTCATGGAATTCAGAAGCAAAGAAATGCATTCAAAGTTGTTTTTGCCCCTCAACAACTTGGGTAATACTCCTGATTTTGTTCTACGGAAACTGTATCTACAGATATGCATATCCATTCAGCAGTACCAAAGCAGAACTTATAGCTTGCATCTCTGCTATTTCACTATTCTATACAACTACCAAGCTGAAGCATGACCAAGAATCTTTTCAAACTGTTAATACCCCTGAAACATTAACAGCTTCCTTCAAGTATCCCGAGCTGGCATTCCCCTCTTGTGTCAGCACCCACCTCCACTAGCATCAATCAAACAAGGGAATTTTAACTGCATGTTACAAAAGGAAATTTCCTATTGATCAAAAGGAAACTAAGTAAGAAACTGATTCAAGTACAAGAGCATGGATGGAACAGAAAAAATTAAGGATAGAAGTGATTCATCCTGAATAAGACTGTACAGTGAAGAAAAAAAAAAATAAATCAAAGCACAAAAGCCAAAGTGCTTGGCTTTATGACAAACTTCATTACTGTAGGCATGGTGAATTTAGAACCAAGAATCTCAGAATATATCCAATAAATATTTTTTAAAAAAATTCATTACCTGAAGATTTTCACATGTTTCTTGGCTGTAGGTGAGCCTCTGTATTTCAGTTGGTGAGACCAGATAGAGTGCTTGTCCATTATTGGTGAAGCAGAATGTTCTGGCTATCCGCATATTGGTGAGTGGCAGGTAATATACATCCAACAATGGCCTTAAACTTGGCAAACTTAAGGAAAAGAATTTTAAACTCCATTAAATATAGCAGAAATGTCTATTATTGATCAAATGGCTCACTGCAATACATTATTCTTTCTCTTCATCTGCATGAGTACCACATAAACAGGGTTTCATCAAATGCAACTACAGAATCTCAAAACGTGAGATTTTTCAAGGTAGCAGCTCAAAAGTGAAATTTAAGCACCTGCATCACAGATGCATTTAAAAGCATTACTTAAATGATACTCTGAGCATGTAAATTACAAATTCACTATTTAATGAATTAGACATTACTTAATAATTACTTACAAAGTATTTCAGTAAGTATTTATCAAGAGTTTACAATGAAACATCCTGTCTCTTCTCTCCTTGACTAAAAATACAAGTCTAAAAGATTTGTCCTCAAGAACACTTAGAAATATGCAGGGGTGTGCTGTCAAAGGAAAACAGAATTCAGTAGCCTCAAACAATCCACCTAATTATGTCCACCTTTTTTGTCTGACTGGATACTTAAGAGAAAGTTCTTTTAGAGCAAAGTTTGCTTACCTTGTACTTTTTGATTCTGCACATGTAACTGCAGTACTTATTGCATCAATCTACTGAAGAACAGACACAGCACACTTGGGCTATAACAATGTTCATGCTACCAAACATTCCTCTCCCTCAACGTAACAATAAATGTGAGTGAGTGACAGAACACCTGATTTCTTGACAAGAAGAAGCCAAAATAAACTGCTGTCTCTGAAACATCCTCTGTGAAGTTTTTGTAAAAGAACTTACACAAGCTGTTAGCTGCAAATGTCCCAACAATACATTAAACAGCTTCTGCTGCAGACACCACCTGCATAAGATTATTTCTAGAAACTAAAAGAAGTAGCAAAAGAAGCAAAGTGAAGTCAAAACCAAAGAAAGATGTAGTAACCACAACGGTAAGTGTTGGGTTGCCTTTGTTTGTTTGTTTTGGGGTTTGTTTCGGTTTGTTTTTCTTGAATAATAATGAGATTGGCTTTGGAAGCAAGTTTTAAAAATGAGAAATAAAAAGCAATATTTTTTTTGTAACACATCACCCAGAAACGACACTTCTGCCATGCATGTATCTAAAATAAGAATATTCTTAAGAGAGAGTTAATAACAGGGAAGTGTCTTGCTTCAGATCAATGGAAGCATAAAACATCCCTACAGCTTCAAAACACAAAACCATTAGATCAAGTAGGACAAGTGTGACATCCATAATAGCATTTTCATAGTTTGTTACAGATTTCTTACTAAGTACTATCTAAATCTATATCAGTAGATAAGTATTGGGCATCTTCGGTATGATACAGTGACAGCTGTATCATACTGACAGCTTTACACAAACCTCATATTAAATCCACTTCCCAATAGCAATTCATGCTTAAATAACGGAGCTAATCCTTGGGAGTCCAACTTCCTCACACAATGTAACAATTCAGTATTTATAATTTAGCACCCATGAAGAGCTCATTAGAAAACAACATGAATCCTGAGTAAGACAGGATTTGTTTCAATATATGGTACCTGAACATTACTAAGTTTAGTTTTAATGAGGAAAAACAACAGTGTTTGCCCTGCAAGGTGAGCAGTATCTTGTGGAGATGTTTAGAATATATGTTGGGATACACACCAATGGAGTTACAGACTTACAATCAAAACTTATTTTTAACTGTAGTAGGAATAAAACTAAAGCTGATATATGACAACTTAATAAATAAGTATTTCCCAAGCTGAGAGCTTCTTTTGTCAACCTTAAAAATAACATTTTAGGAATTTTACTGGCATAATTTTAAAATGCCATGTTCCATATTCATCCTAGCATTAGGCCATGACTAAATTGCAGGTGCAAGGGTATAAGCATATACACTGCTGTTCAGAATAAAATAGCATTTAGAAACATTAAGAAAAAAAATTCATGAAAATTACATAAGTGACAAGTAAGTATATTCAAAAACTACTACTACATTTTTAAACTCATAACTTAAACCTGTACAATTGTAGCAATTCCTGTAAAACTACTAGCAGTTAATCTTGCCTTTATAGCCTGAGTTTAAGGCCTTCAAGACATGAGCAAGCTACACAACATCAGTAAGCTTGAGGCATGAGTGTGATGCAAACAGCTGCACAAAAATCGATAGAGTTGTGGTCAGGTACAAGGTAAAGTTCTGACTCAAGGCAGTTTTCTCCATCAGGGAGTAAATTCATCTTTTAGACAAACTTCAACTCATGGACCTATATCACGTTTGAAACTATGTGTTGAACCAGGGTAGCTTGAGCTAAAATGGTAAACTTTTTCATGTGTTAGAGGCATAACTAATAGCAATGTGTAATCAAAATTATCCAGGCCCAAGTGTTAGAGATTCATTAACCCTGAATGAATGTAGATTTTTTTTTTTAAATTTATCTTCTAATGGAAAAGGAACCTTTCTGTGTAGCAGAAGGCTACTACTTCTTTTTATGTTTAAGTTACTATCAAACAGGTCTTACCTAAAAGTCATAATATGCCCATTGGCACAGAAACATGCAAGGCAGATACTGTTACTCAATGACACTATGTCTCCACGAAGAACAAAAGAAGTCTCTGTTATATTTTGCTTATAAGTACAGTTCTGGGATGGCAGTGAGATAACTTTTGCTTGCTTTTCTGAACATATCACTGCATATTGGTTTTCACTGATTTCCTGAGAGGAAGAAGGGGACACTGAGACAGGACGTCGTTTTTTTGCTTTTTCTTTTTCATCTTTATCTTCAGGAACATTGTATTCTCTCCAGGGTTCATGTGCTGGTGGGACCAAAGATCCTGTGGTATCCAAAAAAGCCATTCTCAAGATTGCCCCTTTTAGCCTCAGGATGGTTCCTAGGAAAAAGGAGTTGAGCACATTTCTGAAACAGTTCTCCTAAATTGCCTTTCAAGCTACAAAATATTCCTTTAAGAAGCTAGCAGAATGAAAAGAAAACAAAAACTTCGGCTTGCCTCTGTAGCAAAACAGATGTACCAAAAACTTTGTACATTTATCTAAAAACCAAGGAAGCACATAGGTACTCAAGAAAATTTTAGATCAGTTTTCAAGGGTGTATGTATTCTATTCCATTAACTTCCCAGGAAATGTATACATTTAGTAAGAGAACCAGACTGCCATACACATTTGTATTCAAGTTCAGTGCCACAAATGCACCTGATTTCACTCTCTCCTGAGAAGTATAAGTGTGCTTAATATCGACAATAAATGTTATTAGTCAAAGGTGAGCACCACTTTTTCCTTCAACTGGTTCAGAAACAAGCAATGTGTGTCTTATTCCTCCCCTGCAGTTCACTCTTGAATCCATCTCTCTAGCATAAAATGAAAGAGGAAAGTTTTCCTTCCTTACTGTTCAAACCACTGTATCTGTAGACCAGATTTTAATAGATTTCTTAATTTACCTTAGTATATTCACACATAAGTAACAACATGAACATTTGCTAAGTACAAAAAAATACTACACACGTGGCAAGATCTTTAATGGATTATGCTGCAGATCCAGTGATGAAACCTACTGTCTAGCCTGCAGCCTTGCCTTTATGATCAAATGTTACCAAATCTGAATACTGCTACCAATACTTACTTGATTTGGGCACAAATTACATATATAGTCTAGATATTACACCACTTCTAATCATTATTACAATCAAATAGCATAGTAATTTGTATGTATGATATGATCTGTGTGAGCAAAATGGACTAGAGCAGCATGTTTTCATGAGACAGTGGTAGTAGGAAAGCTGAATCTATGCTTAACAGCATATCCAACAAACCACTAATACATAATTTCAACCAAATCAGTTGCTGTGTATCAGAAAAGATACAAGACTTTTTACAGTAATCTAAGGGAATATTTTGTCACTAATATTTCAAGCTAGTTGTTCAACATACAGCCTTAATTTGCATTCCATTCTCTTCATGAAGAAAAACTGAAGGGTTCTTACCTCATGACAAAAAAAAAATAATAAACTGAGCATTTGATATTACTCATCTCTTCTGGTATCTCTGTTTAACAATTGCAAACATGGTTTTCTCAGCAAGTATACACTAAAGTGGTATTTTTATATTTTATGAGATTGTATTTTCAACTTTTCCAACTTTAAAACTCTGGTAATAAACTAAACAGTCCAGACTGTTATCTTATATATGGAATATATATTCTTAATTACTCTATAATTGAAAAAAACCAATTTCTTACAAAAATATGAAGAAGGACAACAATACTTTATCAAAGTATATTTTAGCCTGTCTGCTTTGTACATACCACTAGGAGAAACAATTACTGGCTGAAGAAGTCTTTGCTCTCCTCCTGGGGGTAAGTTCAGTACAATGACAAGCACTGTGCCCAGCGTGGTCCCAACCCACAGGCATGGGGAAGGTGATGTATCAGCCTTTCTTGTGAAAGTCTCACAAAAATGAAGAGCTGAAATTGCCTCGCGTGACTCTTTATCAATGCTAGTTACACTAGAACTCCGGGATCGACTGAAAGAGTTGTCTTTGACATCTGAAAATAAATCAGTATTAATTAAAAAGAATGGCAAAATGCAGGCATTAAGAGAATTCAATATTGTTGTGTGTTCTTTAGCATCAACTGTATACTAACTACCATTCTATTGATTACTACCCCTGTATTCTTCCTTAGTCATGTTTGCTTTTGGCCCAGTTTTCAACTCTGTATCTGAGCAAATCTTTGTTACAGAGGTTGTCATTAGATAATGATCATGAACAATTTTTATGCATATTTCTGTCTTCTAGGGCCAGAGAAAAACAGTCATCAAACAGGACTCCTTAAAAAAATTGAATTACAAACCTTTCTGCCAATTAGTTCATTGATCAGACTAAAAAATACTGGCTTCCATGGAACACGGTTTACTAATCTTATGAAGAAACAAGTATTTTACTTTAGGAACTTCAGTGACATCCAGACAGCATGGTAACATGGAACCTGTAATGGCTCATAATAATATTGTCCCACTTTAGGAAACTGTATGGAGGAGATCCAACAGCCTATTTACAGATCCCCAAAATTTCGGTAAAAGAAACAACAAATGCTACCAAATGCCACTTGGTACTGGTATGCAAAGCTGAAGATTTCCACTTTGAATGTTGTACCATAGTGCCAGTAACGGCACTAAAACTTTTCAGGATGTCTTGCTCGCTGCTTAGCAAATAAACGAATTTTAATGTTAACAAAAGCTCAAATGAATAAATGTGCTGCTCCATTCTAACCGTGTGCTGCCTGTAGGTGTGGCAACACTTAATACGTCCGCATACACTGACTTTATCTGTGCATTCAAAAATTATTGCTTTACTTTCTTAATTCATAATTGCAAAATTTTAGCACAAGACAGCTCTTACCAGTAAAAGTTTGATGCAATTTATATAATGACTTTATAAAAAAAATCAAGTTCTTGGTCTAGATCTTTGTGTAGATGTATACATTTGGCATCTTTAAAGCAGGACTAAGAGCTAAAGAGCAACATTCAACCACATACTTTTTGGAAGTAATACTATGTTAGTTTCATTAAATTATGGCAAAACTTTCTACTAAGAACATCTAACATGCATTTAGAAATCATATATACGAGATTTCATGTGACTAAATACACACATCTACTTAACACAAACAGTGAATCTTCTCAGGATATAATTGTCTCATTCCAACAAGGATACAAAAAAATTATTGTCCTGTTGAATTTTAGCTGTCAAATGTAAAACATGGATTATACAAAGAAATTAACTCAACCACTCAGATATTAACATCATTTTTCCATTTAAATAAAATTAAATCCAGAGTAAAACAATGAAAACAATTATTTGGTTTTATAATTCTTCTAATGACCACCACCTCTTATGATACTTGGTTTTTTTTCAGGCTTGAATATTTAATAATTTAATGCATTTTTTTCAACTTTAACATGGATTCATCAGTCTGAATATAATAATACAGTAACTGCAATACGCATAACATTAAATGTGCATTCCTGAGTTCTAGCTGGTTGAATAACTGAAGAACATGTGTACAAATTCCAAAAGCAATGGAATGGACAGGAAAAAAAACCCAATAAAAATTAACTTGCCAGATAATATGGGCATTTTTGAGAGGGGTCAATTCATTCTGAAGAGAGAACTAAGGGTAAACAGTTTAACTGTTTTAGTGCATCTTATTTATCCTGAACTCAAGAAAGAAGTCAATGATTTGTTAATGGATTAGGTTCAGGTGAAGAGGAAGGAACAACAGTGTGATGAATCATTACACACCACTTCATCAGAAAGATGGAAAGATGAGGCTCTTTTGAGCAACTAAACCAAAGAATAGGACCTAGTGGCAATAGTATCTTTATCACTGGATTAGAACATTGAAAAGCAATGGTATAATGCTGACAAGGGTATGTTCAAGAAACTTCTGTTTTAGAAAGTGGAGAATAAATACAGAAACACACTTTAGATTTTCTTTAATGTATTCAGAAAGGAAAAGGGGTAGGTTAAAGATCTAAAGACAGAAAAGTAATCTGAAAGAACAAGATCATGGAAGAGTAGATTTCAAGAAGCCATGGAAAGAAATGAGAGAAAATGATAGGATAATGAATTTGGGAGAAAAGCATTTCAGCTGTCTCCTACAGGCAATAGATGGAGCCACATAAGCAACAAAAAAACCCAAACAAGCAAGGCAACAGTCTTTCAAGAATATTATGCAAAAGCTATCCCACTAGGAGAAAAGATAGAAATAATAAAAAAAAAGATTATGATTGCTTAAGGAAGTTATTTACAGACCTAAAAACCTTGAAGAATTTTATGCAGAACAAAATGAGGCATCTAAGTGCAGATATTTACACACACGAAAAAACAAAACCAGTCAAAGGCTATTACAATTCAGAAGGTACAGACTATTTTATGAGTATATCAGAAGTAATGTGACAAAAACCCCCTTCCATTATTTCACTAGAAAGAATGGCAAATACTAAGTGATGTAGAAAATGCTTCAACTCTTTCAGGATCGGAAAATGCTGAAAAAACTTCAACATTCACTTTTCTCCAATCTTCATTAGAAAAAATAACACTTCAAAGTACTTATTGCCACCAAAGAATTGGGAGCAAAACGGCAGAATTACAGTTGGATAATATTTAAGTACAAATGTGTTCCAGCTTGCAAAGTACGACAAAATTCACTCTGTGCCAAAATTACCCCTAAACCATGTGTAAACATAGTAAGGAAGAATATAAACATATCAAAAAGAGAAGTCAAATTCTTCTGCTCTTTAGTGCAAAAAAGGTCACAGTTAAATCCCTCTAGTTCTGGGCACTGAGTTTAGAAAGAGAAGGAAAAATTCCAGTTCCAGAGAAGATTAAAACAAGTCATCCTAGGTTCAGACAACATAATCTAAAGAAGAAGGAGCTGAATTCTGTAAAAAAAAAAAAATCTGCAAAAATGAAATTAGAGATATGATGACAGATTTCAACAGCATAAAATGGCTAACAAAGATAGGGAGTACTTGTTACCCCTGTTCATTGCAGAAAGGACAAGAAAAAGTTCATATGAAAGCAAGGAAGTTTGATTAAATAACAGAAAATTTGTCTAATTACTATAAAACATTGAAACTGTCTCGTATTTTCTGTAGGTCTATGAATAGATCAGAGGTTTAACTGTCAAACATCCTTGCCATAGCAATGGATTAAAGGATCTCTGAGGGTTGCTTCCAACTTCACATTTCTCTGAGTGGGGCAAGCTGTAATTGTAAATCAGGGTGGTCCAGCTCAGTTTCGGAATATCCCAGTGTCATGGACTTTTTCCTTGTCAATAGCAGCAGCAGCTGTCACACACACAGTGCTGCAGCTGCCAGTCTGATCCTGGTCTGTCTTCTGCTGGGCTTGTGGTAGCAGTTCTGCTGCAGAAAGGGGAGTGAGCTGTGGCAGGCAGAAAGCAGCTGCATCTACTGCTGTAGGTCTACAGCTGTTCCCCATCACTTCTTTAGAGAATAAGGCAAGGGGAGCTGGATATGATCTACAAGCTGGCTGTCAAAGTATTTTAAAAAATAATCTACTCATTTGTATGCTGTTTTACTTATGCAACACAATGACCTTTAGTATTACAGACTTCAAAACTGAACTGCTTCCTATATAAAAAGTTACTGTGCTTTTTCAAGAAAAATTAAATTCTCAGACTGGTCATCCATCCAAACAGCTGTATGTTCCTTTAATTTAGAGAGAGTGGTCACAAGACAATTAAAGTTTATAAAACTACAGCCAACTATTTGTTGAGAGGACCTCAACATACCCTGTTAAAATATTTCAATTTTCAGTTTAAAACATATCAGATGGCAGCAGTTTTCCTTATGTTGTCTGCTTGTCATGCTTTTGCTATCACAGCACTACTGATAAAGTGAGTGACAGATGCCTAAAAATTGACCGAAGTGTGATAAGCCATATACAGGAATTATAGGCTTACCTTAAGATGACGGCAAAGACATTTTGTGCCTGAGAGTCCCCAGAAAGAGTGGAATTAAAATTTTAGTTCTATACTTCAGATAAATGCAACATAAAGTCATGATAGCTTACATAATTTAGGACTCTAACGCACTTGCATTCAGTTTTCGTAAAAATAAAATTAACTCTGTAAACTTACCTAAATCAGGCTTTAACTCAGTTGGCAAACTTAGCTTCCTGGACATCTTTGCTGAAAAGTGAAGTATATCTTTTTTTTAAAAAAGAATAAACATAATTCTGCTGGCCTTTATTTGCTTCTTTCCCAATATTTAATATATAATTGTTTATTACATTAATCGCAGTACTTTACAGGATTTCCACTAAAGCAAAGCCTCACTTCCACAAGTGAAGGGTGCAAAGTAAAACATGGAAGACAGCTAAATCCCTAAATACATCATTTTATGACTTTTGCTGAGCTTGATTTCTCCTCAGGCTTCAGGCAGAACTTGATAGATTGGACGACTTTGGTTCAACCCCAAGCTTTATCTCAGGTGAGAGAACAGAATACAGACTCTTGGCCACTGCAAAGATGCACACTTAAGTTTACATAAAATTAAGACACAACCCCCCTTTCTTACGGACTACTTTCTGATCAAACTGGAGACATTTAAAACAGAAAAACATGAACTCGGAGGTACTAAAACAGTAATGCAAATGCGTAAAAAGCTAATAATTTGAGATGCAACCCACAACCTTAGAAGAATTATCACAAAACCAGCAGCATACAAACACTTGCAACATCACCATTAAAAAAAAAGATAGATAATTTTGATAATACTGTTCAAATGATAAACAGCACTTGAACTTATTCCTAACTTAAAAATTCCTTTTATAGGAAGGGAATTCTTGCAGTGCATTTAAACTGCAGTAAAATACTTAAAAATGCTGCTATAATAAACATACCAACTCAACTAGTAGCATATACATCCCTCTTCCATCTTTCTTTCAACAATTACTGGAGAAGGAATTATTTTGATGTAGCTTACTAGACTAGGACTACACTCTGAATTTATTTCCCACACATATGCTTGAATTTTGCTATAGCAATTAATTATTCACCATCTTGCAAGGATAATACTTCTTTTGCTAAAGTAGATGTTGAGAATAGCCTCATAATTCTAGAAGTACCCTGCAATGGATATCACACATAAAGCACCCTGAATCTTGCTGCTTTTCTCTGTTAAAAATGGAGTTAACTCATTCTAATTATCACTTCAATAGAAGTCATTCCATTTTCTGCATACCCTGAAGAAAAGCATGTGATTTAAAGTTACTTCTACTCCTTCAAAAAGTGTAATTCTTCACTGTATCACCAATTATGCTCATCAATATTGCAAATGCTAGTTATCTGAATAGTTGAACAGTTTTATTCCTGTTATACATTATAAAAATTTGAAAATAGGACTCCAGAAATAATCTTCTAATTTCCTGCATGTGTCAATATTAAAAGTATGTTCAAATTAAATTGAAATTACTTACTCTCAGATGGAAATGCTAGTCACTTATTTTAGTGCAGGCTGAAATTGAAAAGGGCAGTCTGACTGCATGTTTTCTACCCTCATCCTTGCATTAACACTGTCACATACCTAGCTTAATGCTGAGGCCAAAACTCATCTGGAGTTTCTGCCAAGGGTTGTATCTGAGCAAGATTATCTCATGTTTCAGATCAGAGTTCAGACATACAAACAGAAAACCATGGTACAAAACAGCACTAGTGATCAGGAGCCCATCTTTTTGCTGTCAGCTTGAACTTAAATCAGCTTGCAAAGAGATCATTCTCATCTGGAATAGTGAATTACAAGATGGGCATTCCTTATAAGACTTGTTTTCTGTGTTAGACATTTAAATCATAAGAGCTGAGATACTGAACAAACCCTAGAGTTTGTACATGGAAAATAATTGGAGTTATTTTTGGATTTTAACAGCTTTTACCATGTGTGAATACCAGCAATGATTAATTAACTTAGTCATTGAAGACCAGAGTAGTCACTTTTGGCTTTTCAAACAGAAACATTTGGCACAATTTTAATAATTTGGAGAAAACTGACAAAAATAAGAAGATACTAGGTAATAGATAATGTAGCAGGTAATAAAAGTACAGGCAAGTGTGTTGGATTCTGAGTACTGATCCACAGTTTTAGCTTTTTGTTTCTTAGTGAAAGGCCAGCTGTGTGAATTAGGTTTACAAGATAAATTTGTCAGACAATTTTCAGCATACACTGAACTATGCCTCATAAATAGGATGAGAGGATACGTGAACTGTGAGAAAGGATATCATTGCTGGAAATTGTGAATAACTGTGCTATGCAAAAAATACCCCAAAACATTTCAAACCATATATTAATGTGCCAAACCTCCCAATAATTCAAATGTAAATAAGAAATAAGAACCTATTTCAATAGCAATGGTGCCATCTTGTGTTTAAAGAAAAAACTGCCTAAATGTGCAGTAAGAAAATAGGACTATTTCACCAGATAAGCCACTTTTAACTATCATTACTCAGTATAAAAAAATCTGCTTTGTATTCATACCTAGCTTATTGTTTACAATACTTTTGGTAGATTCAGTTTTGCTACACCTCAGATGAAAACTAGCAATATGCTAGACACCTTCTACAAAGTAAAATATAAAAATCAGAAAAATGGAATATATAGGATGGAAATCTACAGAGAAAGCATTCATTTCCAGGCTTTTCACTCCAGCTGTACAACAGGACAAAGGTGATGTTGACTGCTCCTGCTGCACCTGGCTGACCTCAAGAAGTAGCTGCCATATCAGAGTTCCACACCTCTCTTGTGGGTGGTGGTTGCTGCAGCATTTACAGCCAAGACTACCCTTCTGCCGCTGGTGTGAGACAAAGACAGATCAGGGAGCTGTTTTGCTCCTCCTGGCATACTACTGCTCAGGGCATCAGTGACTATTTTGCCTGAGTTTAGACCTACATTTAATATTCCTCTAAATTAGAAAACCTTGAGTAATACACAGGCCCACCCATATTCTTTCTGTTATTATATATGATTAGGCATCATATTAGAGAACTGTCCAAAACCAAGGGTTCTTGACATTTCTCATACATCAGGTTTGGGAGGGCAGGTGTTAAAATATGAAAGGTTGCCTTAGCATAGCATGTTACATGTCAGTATGGCAGGTGCAACCTTCAATTCAATGAAGAAAACCTGAAGGCTGAGACATGACTGAACTATCAATAGGAAGCTATGGCTTAAAAGTAATATACATTTTATTTGCAGTGGATTATCCTGAGCTTATACTTTACAACGTATAGCAGTTTGAAAGCTACAGCAATTTCTCCTCGGTTTCTTTAAGAAAATAGTCTAAACCTTTTAAAATAAAATTCTAAAGATTATAAAGGAGACAAGTGTCTTGGAGTTTTGACAACTAAGAGAACAGTTTATAAAGCCTATTTCATATAACATTACATGAGAAATAACTAAGCAGCTTAGAATTTGTTACACGTACCCAAGTTCCCAAGTTATTCTATATTTGACAACTACACAGAAGTGAAATACTTATATTACCAATTACCAAATGTTGAAATCTCTAAATTTCCTATAAGAATAATAAAACCATTTTATAAGAGAGTGTAAGAAAACATGTACTTGGGTACATCCAAAGTTAGATCAAAGTATTAAAAACACATTGGAAGAAACAGTCATAGTCTGACAATAGGGCAAGTGAGACCTTATTATGAGCATCTTAAAATTTGATTCAATGAAAATTATTTTGGTAATGTTTGAAAAACTTAGGTGTACGCTTAGAATGTAACAAATGTGCAAAACTTTATGTCAGTAGTAGCAGCAGGGATTACAGAAGTCTGGAATTAAATCTACCCTGCTCTGCTCTGTCTACTATAATGTTTGCAGTTGTTTTTAAATTTACTAACTGCAGAAAATAAACAAGACCAATTTTCCTGAGAAGCCTTTGACATGTAGGCTACTAGAGCAGTTATAGGTCTTAAAATCTACCACATTTTGCAATAACCTTTACGAAAGCTTTTCCCAGAAATGGCCATTACAATACATCTTAACTTTCAACATGATTTTTAGCTATAATATTTAATCACCTGTATCTCTTCATGCCAATAATTAACTAACCAAAGTACAAGTAAAACAGCTTAAGATTTTGCTTCCAGTGAATTTGGAGTCCAATATCCTTCTATAAAAATGACACAGCCTTAGAAATTAGGTACTTCCTACCATTCTTCTTTCTGTAAATTCATCTACAATTAGTACGCTTCTACAAACACTTTACAGCATACTATTTATACTTTCAAATATTTGACATTCCTAAGAGAATGGGTTGCTTTCAATAATGGCCACAGTACTTTCTAGAATTTCTAGAAATAGTTAAATCAACTATCTCAGCATTTCCAAGATAACTATAACTTATTCAAAGTTCATCTCTGCAAATAAAAGGCAAACACAACACAGAAGCAACATATTCACAATAGGTCTTAACTTGAATTGCTATCCATTCCTTAGCACAGAGCATTCACAATTGAGTTTAAAAAAACTCAACAAATAAAACAGACCAACTGATCAGAATGTTGGTACAGGAAGCATTTGCATATTGTTTTACTTAGGATATTGTTTCATTTTATGTGGGTGTTGATCCTCTAACAAATCGGAGACTCCTTGTTTAGTACTAACACTAATTATAGAAATCTGTAGAAATTAGGATGTCTCATATTTCTAACTATGTTACATTACCACTTTACAGTCCTATCACTGAAATGAAATTACTTCACACTTTGCTAGCAGCATTCCCTTGCTCCCTGTTCCAATGTGACAAACACAGGAGTGATATTAACAGCAACTGAAGTTATCAATGTAAATGATTCTTATTCTATTTTGCAACACATTTATCAGGTTGTATTTCACATATTGACAAAGAACAGAAGGAACTTGAACTGATTGCACTAATTGCCAGTGCAGAGAGCTATGACCATGCTATATACATCAAATTCTTCCGTGAGAACACAGTTGATGGTAAGCAACTTGTTTCATACAACACGGTAATGTTAATGACAGTGACACATTTTACAAAACTCACTGTCCATTCACATTTGGTTGGTGATTCAGTTTAAAACAATGAAATGCAAAAACATGTAACTATTAACACAGAAGAGGTGTTTTATTTGTGTGAAAGAGCTTAGAATGTAAGTTCAGAAAAAACTTGAGTAAACATGCCAGATAAGCTATAGTAAACATGGCAGTGAAACATCCACATTCAGTACACAGTACCAAACCACTCAAAACGAAGAGAATGCAAAAGAAATAATTATCTTTAAAGTTCAAATAAACTCTGCAAGTTACAGAAATCATACTATAACTTAGAGCATGAAGAATGCATTACTTGTAAATAAATGCTTTTCTTTCTTTAGCTGTGAAAAACATTCACAATGTTTTCAGTTGAAAGGCTTCAAGCTGAAACAGATGTAAATAGCTCTATAGAATTGTCATTAGCATATTTTATTAATGCTCTAACATAACTCTTTGAAAAGAAGTGAAAAAAGAGGTCACAGACAAACTTTCCATGTGTTTTGCATGAGACGGTGTCTTATGCTCAGAAGAGACAAAAGGGAAACATTACGTCAACAGACATTGATATAACATGCACAAGTGTTGTTTTTCTCATTAGAAGACTTGAATATTAGGTTCTAGTTACCCTAAATTTCCTTTAGAGAAGCATATTAAGGGTCATGTAAAAGATAATAAATTTTTTTTAATTACAAAGTCACATAATATATTATTGACAGCCATTTGCTTTCTGGAATTATATTCAGGCTTCTGCTGCCTCAGAACTCATCTTTCCTACCATTTCTGGTATCGCTCCAAGAAGGGCTCAATATGGTACTGTACAAAGGGCATATTCCTGCTCTTCCTCATTCTGTACCTCGGATTCCAAGGACCACTTCATCATACTCATATTTGTCTCACTGAATTTTGAATGATTCTTTATCTTAATTACTGAATTGCAATGAAGGGGATTAATGATTTAGGACAGAAGTTAAATTGCCAAACAGAATAATCCAAAGGAGACTGTAGGAAAATAAATCTCTTCCTCCCTAGTCTTACCCTATGCTTTACTATCTAAAGTCATTTCAACCTAAACTGACTGAAGAGATAAAATGAAATTATCCTACAATGATATACTAATTTGCTAAATGAAAACAAAACGAACCATTAACAAAGTGATTTTGCAAGGAAAGTAACCATATCCCAGTTCAGGCAGAAGAGTCCCTTTCCCAAAATTAAATCATACAGCTCTCACCTTCATTTATTTAACGACCCAGCTGTCAGAAGCAGAGTTATTTCCATGCCAATCATAAAAGCGTTCAATCTACCTGCAAACAACATATCCCAAGGCAATTTTGTTGCCAAATTGTTAAGACACAAGTCTAGAGCTGGTAGGGAGGGTATTGTGTCGCTGTTGGATGCAGAAAAGTAAATGGAGGTCTGGAACAGTTATGGGGTATACTTATATAAATGAACAAGTCCTCTTCCAGATGAATAACAGAAACCACAAAACTACATCTTTCTTGACCATAGCCATATAGAAATCTGACCATATGGCTATGAATACAACATATAAAAAAGAAATTGTATCAGCCACATGTTCTCAAAGATTCTTGCAAAAGCAGTGGAATAATGTTGTGACTTGCATAGACTGAACTCTTACTATGTATTAGAATTTCACCCATCCGGAAAAATAGAGAAGTGCAACTGTAAAATCAGAGAATTTCAACCACCAATACCATTGATTCTTTTAAAAATTATCGTGCCCAGTGTATTTAGTACAGAAGCAGCCCACAGAAATTACCACTTAGCATAAAGAATGAAAAATAAAAAAAATAAATAACTTAATGCACTGAAATTTGACTGTTATTTTGCCTTTTTTTTTTTTTTTTTTTGCTGCTGGGTTAGTTTTGCATAGAGTAAGGCGCTGGATTAGAAAGAGCAGAATTTTTCTAGTTCCTACCTATGTCATTGGTTACCATCTTGGAAAACTTTCTGCTTTTGGTCTTCACTGTAAATAATATTTTAATAAAAAAGATCAATCTAAGTATATCAAAAGGTGAACTGAAGAAAAAAAAAAGACTAGAGAAAAGAAAAATACTGTACCCTTTTCTATAAAATTATTCATTTTTTGTTCATCATCAGAATTGTTTGGTGAACCAGAACCTACAAGTGGAGACAGAATGAAATGGATATACATTTGTCATGAATGAAGTGGATTTACGACACAAAATCAATGTATGAATACAAGCTTTGAGTTTAATGAAGATAAAAAGAGGTATTAAAATATCAAATACTGATACTGGTATTCTCTGTAGCTGCACTAGATATATACAGTACAAATTATTTTGGTATGATAAGAATTCTGCCATATCAGGATTAACCACAGAAATTATAATGCAAGGTACAATGCTGCACATTGCAGCAAGTTTATTGATAGAAGTATTTCCCTCATTGATTAAATGTTTATATTGAATAACTAAATAGATGTACTAATCATTCCTCCAGACACAATGATTAACCTAAATTATGATTCACAAAACACTGATGTAACAATAAACTCAAGTTCTATACAGCTGTTTCTTTGTCTTTTTTCAATGCAGTAAAGTCGCTGTTGGACCACAGTTCTTCAACTATTCTGCAGACAGCTCTGAGCCAATGCTACCATCTGGGATTTTTCTGTATCCCTAACCCTGAAATACTGGTGGTGGCTACAGATCACAGCTTCAGGCTTACTGTTGTCATGAAATGAAAATATTGTCAGGAAAGTAAAACATTGTTTAACTAAAACCATCCAAATTTAATTGGATTTTATTCTGCTGAAGTGTAAAATAAGAACAAAAAACAAGCATTTTGGCACTCCTGAAGACAAAATCTTGTCAGATTACAACGCTATATAATGTTTTACAGGTCAGATAAACACCCCTAGAGTCTAGGCCTATTACTGCTTGACATTTATAGAAAAACTGGGAGACGTTTTCACAGTATTTCTACAATTCTGTGTTACTGAAACTGTAGGATGTTGTCCTAACTTGCATAGGCAGGTAGTCCCTTTCACAGTCCTCTCAACTATATAGCTACCCACTGGAGAAAGTCTAATGGAAGTTAGCTTCCACTTCTCTTTACCTGGACATTGAAAGGTGGAAGATTTAGATCATTTGAGCAAATTTAGACTTCGGTCCAAACAGAGACTAGTCTCTTTCATAGATCCCATTGTAACAATCAAAGCCAATAAGGGACTCAATTGCCAATGCCATCCTCCAGTCTTAAAACTAGGAACATGCAAACATTTTGTGCTTCTGTATTGTCCTCTTAACTAGAGAGCCTCTAGATTGGAAAAAATTTACTTAAATCTTGCCTCCATCCTGCTTCACAAGCTCACCAACCCTTTGCAGCAAATATCTCAAAAATGTCCTCTCTTACCTCTGAAAATTAGATGGAATTTTAAAGCCTGTCTTGTGCTCTTGTCCAGAAAAGATATAAAACTTAAACCAAACCTAAGGAATTGCAGTTCTTCTCCCTTCACAAACTTCAAATTATTTCCATGTTAGGAGGTGCCTCCAAGTTTTTTTCAAAGGAAAAATTGAGAAGCCTACCATGACCTTAATCTCATTCACTGAGAGCTGGGAGTAGAGGACAGAATCAAGGGAAGCAAGGCACAGTCCAGCCTCACTACTTCAAGATTATATTTTACATGAGAATGCAACAGTTCTATTCGTCCTCCATCTTTTGTCCATTTGCTGGTTTTGGTACTTTAGACTTATTTATCCACAGTATTGTGCATGTACACATCATAAATTATATATCTTTTCACAGAATACTCAGCTCTCCAAACTTCCAGGTTTTATTCTAAAATGAACTAAGTTCAAAACAGTGTTCTCAGAAAGTCAACCCAAACTGGAGACTCATTTTTACTTCTAGAGGATTGGAAATTTCCCTCTGATTTTGTGTCCTTTCAGGACATTTGAATTCACCTATTCTAAGCTGTCTCCTTATTTGATCCTCTTAAAGAAACATTCAAATTTAATTAATTTTTAACCTACTACAGCTCACAGAACTCAGACAGGAGGGAGGGGGTAAACAGAGGAAGGGAAGCAAATTGTTAAATTTAGGAGTTTCCTTGATTTTCATCTTTGGACTTGCCTTCATTGTTAGTAGAAATGGTGAATCAAGGTTTACTCTACTTGAATTCCAACTTATGAAAGAAACTCTCTAATTCATACTGCACGGGGTGTTACGTTTAAGCAGTATGAGTTGGAAGCAGTTGGGGCTGATATTTGGGTGATGCTGGAGCAAGGGGAAAAGAGGATACACATTAGGGTTTACAACTCATTAGCTGTTCATTGCACACATTTTATAGTAGTCTACCAGAAACCACACTTAGCCTGGACTTTTTAAGTCAAAAAGTCAAATTCAAACACCTTAGTGAGATTGATAACTATCCTCAACCTTGACAGACAAAGGGATTTACTGCAGCTGCAGCACTGCATAGCAAACTGTTCACAGACATCAGTCTTCATATTCAAAAATGAAATAGGAAAGATGCACTTTATTCTAAACACCACAAAAAAATGTTTTCACTATAAATGATGCTGAAATTAACAACTTTAGCATGCCAGTCCTCAGCCTTACAGATGTTTGTCATGAAATCACATCTTCAGTTAAGACTTTTAATTAAAGTTCCCATCCAGTTTTTGCTTTAATTATAAATAAATTCAATTTACTTTTAGAAAGAGCTAGCAAAAATGACATTGATTGATCTAGAGGTGAGTTTTGCACAAATTAAAATTAACATCAAAACACAGCAGTTGTCAAATCAGAAATTAAAATTTGTTAAACTTTCTACTAGAGCTACAAACATAATATTTTGTTTTATTATGCTTTCAACTTGGCTTTGAAAGATACAGGCTACAATAGAAAAGGAATCTATCTTTAGATTCCTATCTTGATTAGCATTTTGCACTACATTGCACATACTACTTTACATACTTGATTTAAACCTGAAGTTTAGTCCTTTACTCTAACTTTGAGTAGTTTTGAATGAAACAAAATGACATCTTTAAAAGTTCTCAGAGTAAGAAGTGAAGATAAGCGACAATTTTTAGCTACTACAAAAAAAATACACCTCTAATACTACATACACTATTAAGAATTAACATGGCTATAGCCTCAACTAGCCAATATGAAATAAAATGTTAAATCTTTAAAATATAATTTAAAATGTTCACATACAGCAGTTGCAATTGAAAAAAAATCAAACAACTCCTTGTTTAGGATGCTGGTTTCTGAAGACCTCTGATTCCAAAGAAAAATAGTAATTTGCCACTTAAAGATGCCACTCATCTTTATGACATATTCCTATTGCATCTCTTATATCAGCCTTGTTTTAAAAACGCAGTTGTGCAACACAGCAAAATTTATGACAGCTCAAAGAGCTTGTGAGAGGGCAACAGGTTTTATATAATTACTTAACTAGTAAATGTTGACAATGCATAGGAACATAAGAAGCTGAAGATCACAGAAAGTTATGATTACCTGATGTCGGCGACTTGCACCGGTCTTCTGGCACCACTGTACCTTCATTAATATCACAAAGACCTGCTGAAACACAAAGCCAGAGTATTATAAACACAGTTGCTATTTTATTCTTACTTCCACTGCAGTTAGGAACTTCATTTCTTATTAGATACAAACAAGCTAGTTGTGACAGAATTTCTGTTACGTATTCTTTTTGACACTACCCAGAGTGACCGTAGAGTCACTAACAAAATACACTCTCACTAAATTTCCCTGAAAACCACCATATATTCAGCAAGACAGACTTATCAGAATAGTTAATTATTTACACACTATAGATATATATTAAGTACAAGCAAAATTTGTTTTGAAAAAATCAGTTATATTAAAAATTTAAACGCAAAAGAAAAGTCAAAGAAGATCTTGAAGATTACAAACACATATGTGAAACTACAGTGCCTTTTTTCAAACTACTTTCCCGGTGATACTGTGATATGCTTTATATTTGTCAATTTGCATTGCCAAGTTCATTTTCCAGAAAAACTCCTTATTGATGTCACTTACAGAATTCAGATCTTAGGGTGTTTACAAAGGCGTTCTTCCTAGAATGGAGGAATTTCAATAGAATTTTTACATCATCAAATTTGATCAATTGGAATAATTGCAGTATGTTAACATGTAAAAACTAATTCCTTTCATTCCAGTGAAGGAAATAAAGTCTAGTAATCCACAATCAGATGCCAAAGATGTAAGTTGCCTCATAAGCCTCCAAGTATTATTCCATAGCACAAATTAGAAGTACACAAGGAATTTTTCTATTTTTCTTTTTGACACGAAATTGCTGTCCAGGCTGTCCACAATTAAGAAAAGTGAATTTTATTGATATTTTAAGGTTAGTAATGCGTCTTCAGGTTTATATCATGAAGTTTTCCTACAGAAATTTCATGATGTGATACTAAGGCAAGAAAGCATGGAATACTGAACAGTAATAGTTAAGAAATATTTGTTGAATTTAAAGGTTTTTGCATGCACACAAATGTTCCCAGTAGTCAAAAAGTTTGAGAAGTGTAATGGTAAGGGCTAAGACAATAAAGGCATCACATGGAAAGCCTGTCTATACAGCTGTACACTACACATTCACAAGTGCATCTGTGAAGAAATAGAAAACATAAGAACAGCTCTATTCTATCAAAGTTTTAAAATTTCCAAACACTAAATGAGAATTTAATAGTTTTAAGGGAAAAAGGTTCTCCTGAAATACCATATCAATCTGGAACACACTGAAAGGATGTTGCATTAACATTTTCATTTATCCTAAATAGTCTTTTTTAATATTACTAAGAGCATGTACAGCTTAAACCTCAAAACTCAATCACTAGAATTGTTGTCAAATGACCTTAAGGCTTCGTTAACCCTACACTTGAGAGTCCTGGAACCAATTTCAATTTTAAAAAGTCAAGCGAAATTCCAGGTGAAAGCTATGTCTTTCCACTACACAGGAGAAAGAAAAAAGCAATTTATTTTGTTATTTATCTGTCAGTAAATTGATGAATACTATGGGGTAATCATGGTACATATTCTCTAAATATGATGTGACCTCTGAAAGCACCAAAGTTTTAAATGGGCATGGGAGTCTAAATGTCTTGAACTAGACAGGATTTTATAAAAAGATTTTTCAAAAATCCTGATGTTGCTCTCACAACAAGCAATACAAGTTTTTAGATAGTAACAGTGCTGGGAGGATAAACCTGTACTGTGCTCTTAGAAGTAGTTGCTCCTTCAGGAGCCAAACCAAACAAATCCAAACACACAGTTTAGGAACTCAATTTTCTCTTTTCTGTAAATATCAATTCTTTACCTTCAAAGGAAGAGTTTAACTACTTGCACTGTTTCTCTTATGAAAACTCATGAATTGACAGGAATAGTTTTAGCCAAGAATGAAGTTATACACATGCATACTTGATTTCTTTGTAAGAAGTCTTGAGGCTATAATTTGATTAATATACATCTTAATGAACAGTAAGTGTAAGCGTGCATTATGGTAATCATTATGCCATGTAAACCTTGGAAATCTAATCATAGCCATCTAGAAAAGGAACAGGAAGAGATGAAAAGTAATTTTACCTATGACTATATTAGTAATTAAACTAAGCAGAGAATAACAAGAATGATCTGAGTTAAGCTGTGAACTAGGAGGGTCTGTCTATGACCAACAAGAAGAAACTGGCATGACAGTCTCTATTGCTGTTCATCTTAAAACCCCAGGTACCCTGATGGAAGGTCTGGCAGCAACACAGCTCTTCTGGAAAAGTTCTCTGGTTTCGGGCTTACAGTACACATGCAAATTGCTATAAATTACCAAAGCAAATTGATCCAAGAGTTTCCATTTTAGAACTGCAAAGACTGTAACTTCCTATGACATCAAGGTATATACAAGTGACCTTCTAATAAGCTTTTAGTTTATTTATCTCTCTGAACTCCAGAAGCAAGAAATTTGAAAACCCTCCAAATTGGAAAAAAAAATAAAATCAAATGTCAAAGACATAAACATTACCATGCTGCATTAAAAACCTCCCTGTCAGTTTTTTGCATAGGCTTTAGACAGACATACCTGAAGAACCTACAACTGGACTGGAAATCGGTCTAATTAAAAATTACAACTAAAACTAGATTGATATGAAGATGTAAAAGTTAGAACTAAAAACAATTAAGCTGAAAAACAGAGTCAAAAAGCTCCCCAAACCCAATAATCAAACTTTCTGATACAGTTCTCGCCTTGGCTGATGTCAGTTACAGCTGATGTTGGTCTTGTGACATTTAAGTTAAAATTCAAACAGGCCATGAAAGGGGATGACCAAACAGCATGACCAAGCAACCCCAGAAGAGTTCTAGGCATGTATTTTCTTCCAGTTTGCCTCAATTCCAGTTCTGAATATCTCGTAGTTTACATTCAAAAGAAGGTTTTTTGATGTATAATAAAAATTATGAAAAGTCACATGCATGCAAGAAATGCTTCAATTTTGTCAGAAACCTAAAATGTCTCTGGTAGAACTAAGAAATGCTAACTTATAGAGTTGTTTTATACTGGACTAATCAAAAAGTCACATAAAATCTTGCAATCCCCCACAACAGTTATTTGCAAAAGAGTTAAAATTGGTGTCCTATATGAACTTAAGTAACTAAGAAGGAAAAATAACAGCTGTCTAAGTTTTAGTGTTTCATCATGAAGTTATGACTTGTCTCATCATTTGGTATCAGTATTGACTTGATGGCTCCTGTCATATTTAGCAAACAGTACAAGCAAAGGTCTTGGTGTAAGCCCCCGCTGTGTATAGAATATACAGAATTTTCATCACACTGTAAAGCTTTGGCACATGCCCAAAGCTGATTTCCACCCCTCCCTTACTATTACAGTCTGAAGGCAAAAGTTGATTTTGTTTTTAAGCTTGACAAGCACCTGATGACACTGTCTAGCAGGCCTTAACAAAACACATATACTGCATGCTTCACAAACTATAAATTTCCACCCAAAACATGTGAGTAGTATACCTGGTATGAATCACTGATAAATTCCAAAACACGATCCCAACTGGGAGCTTGTATCTGTAGAGCTAGCCTGAAATGACAGTTTACAGTCTAGCTAGTGTAGAGAGCCTTGTCTCTAATTAGATGCTGCTTTAAGACGGGAATCTGAATTTCTTTTCTGAGTAGAAAAAATAAGATGACAGAAACATACATCATATTCTTGCAACATAAGCGAAGGGAAAAATCTTGCATTTCCATTCATATTTTAGAAGATACGTAACTCTTACTATATGAATTTCTTTAAAAAACACCTTTGTAAATTTTCAATTGGTTGATGAAGGACATGCCATTTACTAAATTGTAAATATGTTAGCAGATATTGATGATCTACTGAATTGACATTCTATGCTGAAACATACAGAATATTGGGGTTCTTAATGAGAGAGGACCAATCCTTCCTCCATTTTCTGGAAGTGGTTGAGTAATAGAGAATAATGTTTTCCTACTCCCCTCCCTGCCCTCATATGGAAACAATTTTTCAGTTCAGCCAATTTTGTGATACTATGTACAATATATTCTGCTCTGTTGCATGCTGTCTGAATGTGAATTTAATATAACTAATTAAGAACTTGTCTGAATGCATATATATAGGCTAGTATGATTTTTTTTTCTTAAATACAGTTAAATACAGGAATTTTCAAAAACTACTACGTGACATTACTTACCTAAGTACTTTTTCTCAGAGAATTTAGATATTAAGTACTAATACTCCCTGAAGATTCTTAGAGTTGTAAAAGTGTGAAAATGTCTTATTCACAGAAAAATTAATTTTGAAATATTAAAATATAAATGTTTTCAAGATAAAAAATACAATGAAGGCATATCTTTCAAAATAAAACCAAGGAAGCATAAGTTCCTTGCATTTTTGAAAATGCAGATACTAATGTCCAAGAAAGGGAGAATGCAAAATTCAAAAGTGTTCCGACTAACTCATACAGTTCCAATCCCATAAATATATCAAAGGGTAGTGCTTAAATATTAAGACTTATTATTTGTGGAAAATTACACAATAGTAATACTTTCTTATTTAAATTATTGAAGTCTGGGCAACACATACATTGAAAGAACTACAAATAATGAGAAATTTTAAATGAAGGAGAAATTATTTTCAGGTTTTAAAATGAATGTAGCTCCAGCTAACCAAGATATTGTCAAGATGGTAAACAGAAAAACTACATGATTAAGAAATTAACTCTTTTGTACAAAACTTTTTTAATCTATTCCTAAATAAAACAGTCCAACAGAATTCAGCTTTACAATATTTAGTTTCAAAAACTAGTTTTGGGATTTCTACTCATCTTTCACTCTTCTTCAAAACAACAATCAATCAGTGTCAGATTCTGTTTTTCAGTTCTGTATCATCTTAAGGTGAAGGCATTTCTTTTATGCCTAGTTCCCTTTCTGCCTTGGCAGCAGAGGACTGAAGACTATAGAGAAAGCAAGTTTTTGCTATTAAGACTGCTCTCTGAGATGTATTTCTTTTTTCTTGTTCAGGGAAAAAATAGCAGAACTATGAATTGGATGACAGTATCAAGTGTTTGGGTTTTTATTTGTTTTTCTTTTGTTTTTTTGTTTGTTTTTTAAACTCCAGTTCAGTCTTCCTGTAGCTTAGTTTTATTCTACTCCATTAAAAAATGGGGTGAGATTACCTACCTCTGCCAAGGGCTGGAAAAAACTGACATCCTATGGAAAGGAACAGTGTTATGCTTTAAAAAAAATAAGCTTTACATTCTCCAATTTCTTAGATGTTGTAACTGATGTTGTAAGTCAGAGAATCTCTCAGGTAAATCATAGTTCTGATGGGCTACCTCCCTTACATAGACACCTGAACTTCAAAACTGCTTGGAAGGTTCTGTACAGTATTGTGCAACACACAAACACCTCCACTCTTAATCCTTATAAAAAACATCTTTGTAGAAGTAAATTTTCTTTTGTAGTAGAAAAATCACTGTTTATCACAATGTTTATTATTATCACTACTACTAATAGTCTAACTAGAGTTATGAAACTTTTTCTGCCAGAAAGGGAACCAAGCAAGGGAAGCTTATAGTAAAAGAACACTAAATTCCTAAGATCTTAGGTCTGAAAACATCAGTAACTTTAAAGGTAGAATCTCCTTTTGATTTTGATATTTATTTCTTTAAAAATACAAAATACAGAGACTATTATGGTTGCCTTTTTCTTCAAGTTTCTTTTAAAGATATCATGAACAAGAAATACAATAGATGCGTGATGGATTAAAATCAGTTTCCAAAAGGAAAACAATTACTTAAAATGGACTAAGAAAAATACTTATGTTGAGGGAACAAATAAAAAAAATCAAATTCAGATGTTCAAAAATATTTGAATGCCATGAGATGACTTACTTATATAAGAGGTGCGAAGCTTTTTCACAGACTCTGAATATAAGTTAGAAAGGCCGCACATGCAAGAAGCCACAGTCAGCATACCTTTATGAAGCAATGAGAAAAGGAAAGACGGAGACACTAACAGTACATTTGAGACAGAAAAGCCAGCCAAATAACTTGTATAACCAGGTTTTTAAAATGCTTTTGCCATGCAAATTGTTAGTATTAAAAGTTAAGATGAAAAAAATATGACTTCATGTAACAGCTTCATGAACAAAAAGGACTTTAATTGTGAATGTCTTAGAGACAGTTGAAACAGTTATGTGGATCCAACACATTAAAATAACGAATGCTAAGAAAACAAAGGCAAATTACGTTTAGCACTCCAAAAGGCAGTTTATAATCTAAGTGCGTGAAGCAGAATTTAAGCCCTTTACTCCCAAGACAACTTAACACAGTTAACTAGTAATTTCTTTTTCTCAAAATAATTTGTTTTTTCATTTCGTAGAAGAAAATATTTTTTCTGACAGGATACAAACTGCATATATTCTGTTCTATATTAATGACTTTTAGATAAGTTTCCTGAACTGAAATAAGCTGACTAGTGTTAACTGGATCTTTTTCAAACCAACATTTGCTGAAATACATCCTAGACATTTCCAGCTGAATATCATATAATCTGAAGAATTTAACAGGACTTTATTCTGGATCTCTCAAAGAAATCAACACTAGTGCATGAAGAAGGGTTTTTTGAACAGTTGATTTCCCATCAAAAAAAGAATCATTTGGGGCAGCAATGACACTGTTTATTGTTCTGTCTTCAGCTGTTTTCCTAAAATAAATTAGGAGTATCCATGACATATCAGGGAAAAGAAAATTTAAAAATACTAAATTTTCCTTTAGGTTTCAAAAAACGTGGCATTTTGACTGAAAAGCCACTTTCCTGCTCAGCTGAAAAAGAACACTCTTCAGCATATTTTTAAATCAAAGTACTTTTTTTTTCTCAAAGATTTATTTATTTTGTGAGTTTATATGTGGAAGTTCATTTGGCTTCCTCTCAAGCATAACATAACAGCATAAACAACAAAACATGCTTTAGCTTATCAGGGACATTCCTATTCAAAGTTTAAAACAGGAAGTCAAAGCTCCCAGCAAACGCACTGGTTATTGGCAAACATTACTGGGTTTATACAAGCATATGAAACGGGTACTAGCTTTATCAGAAATATCAGGTACTTCCTCATGCTGTGTTATTAAGTTAAATTCCTATAAACTGCATAAATCCACTGTACATACTTATATCTACTTACACATAGCACAGTATTTTCCAGTTTATGTTTTCTTAAAACAAACATTACATTGAAAAAATAAGTAATGATATCAAGCATCACTAGATTCCACTCAGCAACAATTTTTAAGGAAACATGATTTAACAAACCTGAAATAGTGCTATTAGGAACAGATCAAGGAGAAAGAATGTAACTGCAGTATAGAAAAGTATATTTGTAAGACTAGATGACCAGCTGTGCCTTTCTTCTGAGCTTAAAACATGTTTTGGGTTGCTCACCTCCAGACGGTTGCCGAGTTTTTCGGGGAGATCGTGGTTCCCTGCGATAAGGATCATTGGAGCCATACAGTTCAATAGTGCCTAGATTCAAGAGCACTGTCTTCTGGAGGTAATCAACCATGGCAATACCATTACAGTTTCCAAAAACTACTCTGGAAAAAGACAAGTGGAAGGAAAGACAGTGCTAATTAAATGTTGGTAAATTTTCACATAAAGATTTTTTACTGTTCAGCATTTGAAGACTTCCTACTTTTTAAGAATTATCCTAGATCGAATATATCTATAAATTACTATTTTAGAGTGCAGTATTGCTTAAGTGTTCTCTTGTAAAAACATGGCACTGAGTAGAACAGATCATTGTCATTGTACTTGCCTACCTATCTGACAGAGCCTTAAATGACATTTATTCTCGGCTGTACAGCGGCAGCTGAGAAAGAGTGATGACGATTTGTTTCTGCTGCTAGCATAATCAGGATCTGCCATGACCCAATAGGAATTATCTCCTAAGCACAAGAGGCTGATTACCTCTCTGTCTTGTCGTGCAGCTCATGTGAACACACATAGAGACTTAGTTTTAATGCATAATTTTAAACCCCTTTGACAGGATAATGAAAAAACTGCGTAGAATATACTTACAGGCCATATGCTGAGTTGACTGCTAAGCTGGTTATCTGTTGAGGAGGTTCTCCACTCACCCACACTAGCTGGATAACTAGCTCAGTTTGGTAGCCTGGAGACTGCTTGAGAGGAGAATTTTTAACTCTGCAAAATAAACAAAACATGGTGTCTTTTTATTCCCCTCCATAGTCTCCATTTTTAACTTAGGGGCTCAGAGTTCATTAATTTCTACACCACACTGTAGAATTTTTTACAAATTGTAAAAAATATGATCAAAATCACATAAAAGCAATCAGAAGAAAAATCCACATTGAAATTGTTAATTCATGTTTTTAGGGGCCCCTTTGATTCACTACCTAATTGAAAACTAATAGAACAGTGATCACAAATACTTCATTTTTCCCATTTTCACAGTAAGGCATAACATTTTCTTTAGAAATACACTACTGCAACTTGGTACAATCAATACAATTGAAAATCCTCACTCAGACAAAGTAACCACATCAGAATTAGTTATTTTCTAAATAGACACACTGAAAGAATTAAAATCCAAGCTGGGACCTTAAAACTTCAGAAAACAAAAAGTACATACTTATATCTGTAAGATATATACATTCTGCTAGAAAAAGTGATGGCCAAGAGGTCTCATAATGCACTCTTGTAGAAGAGTAGAAAAAGATTTCCTTCTTTTAATTTTCATTTCTCAAATGAGTAAAAGCTCACACAAAGAAGCTTATAGAAAAATTCCCAATTTAAAAAGTGGTCAAAGACCTATATTGCAAGCACTATGAGGCATCATGCAAAGTGAAGATCCTTGACAATGGGACGTTTATTAAATTCTGTTTTCAAAATATCAAGTAGTTCTCTTAGAGAGTTTTCAAAAAAGATGTATATTTATAAGCCTAAAGAGTTACCACTCAGCTAGCTATTTGTAAGAATTTTCACCACTTTTGATTTGGCTCTAAACCCTAAGGCTCTGGAAAACCAACAGATGAAATGTATTCAGCCACAGAACATCAAGTTTCCTATTCATTTCAATGGACAATGAGACACAGTGATTAAATTGCTGCTATTAAAAAATGTTTGTTCTAAAGAGTGATCACATATAACTATACTAACATCTGTGCCAAATTTTCCTAAATCATAACATAAGGATTTTCAAATTTTTAGCAAATCAGCTTATGAAGTTTAAAGAAATTGGGATAGCAATATTCATTTCTTAAAACAGAGCTCAACTTTCATATATTTGGAAAATGTTGCTCTATAAAATAAAACATTGTCACCAGCAATTACATATCTGTAATAATATCAAAGTACATATATTCTAATGACATATTTTCATAAAGTCTCACACTCCATGACAGTGTAACAGAATATACTTACTTTAAACACGGGACATTATCACGAAGGCCATCAGATGAACTGCTACTAGTAGATGGGTGAGACTGGGGAACAATGGATTGAGGATTGGAACTTGCGCCTGGAGTTGATGAAGGTGGCACCTGCTCACCATCTGGAGTTTCAATATCATTTATTTCATATAGCAGACGTACTTCCAGCATCTGTGAATTAAAATTAAAAAAAAAAAATCAGTAAAGTCTGCCTTTCAAAAAAACTGGATACAAAATAAATGAAGTGCAACAGAAGATTGTAGTGATAAGTGACATCCAGGTCTTTTTCATCTTTTAAAAGACAACACTAGGTTAATAAACAGTGCAACCTAAATACCTATGTAGTCTTTAGAAATAGAGTCTTAGTAACTACTACAGACTGAATATCTGAAGATTACTGAAACTTGAAAGTCTGATATATTTCCCAGTTTTTAAAAGTTTGCATCTTAATATTGAAAGAAATTAAATACTGGATAGAAAACCCATTTAATTATCATTCTGCTGACATACATTCTCAGTTACGAAGATGACTCGGTTTATGTAATTCTGGAATAGTAAAACCGAGAGCTAAAGGCACATAGACAGCTACCCTTTATACTGATGCAACACTGTACACATGGGACTTTGTTCAATATTGGATGTGCTCAACTAGCTCATACATTTTAAAGAACTGCAAGTTCATCATGACTTCAGATTTTCTTCTGCTGGATCAGTAACAATATTAGTATTAATTGCAGTGCAGTGAAAAGAAACTTTTCCACTGTTTTATTCTCATTGTCTGCAAAGTAGAACTTAATTCATGGACTGAAACAAAGAATATATAGTATTTTTAAAACTTTCCTAGTACTGAAGAATAATTTGCTAGGGACAGATTCAGGAAAATTGTTTAGAAAAAATTATTTCCTCAGAAGGGAATGTACTTGTACACAAGTAAACACCCCATGAAGAGTGAAGAAAAAAACCCCTCAGGTCTTTAAACTAAGACTTATTCAAAGGGAGCAGAATAGGAAGGGGACGGGGTTTATGTTGTGTGTGTGTGTGTGTGTTGCGGGTAGGAGGTGGAAGGAAAAACCAACTACATTACAATTAACATTTTACTTATAACATACAATATTTTATAATTAAATATGAGCTTCTAGCCCATACATTCAAATACATAAACTTGTGTGTTTGATTTAACAAAGGACTTCTCAAACTCTTGTAATAGAATCATTGTATCTTACATAGAATAAAATAGCAACACACCAAAGTCCTTAACAGATTCTGGGGAATGTTTGGCTCACTTGTACTCTTCTAGCTCTGCACACTGCAGTTTTGACAGGACAGATGATAATTATTAGAAATCAAGGAAAAAGGAATCTACTCCCTAAAAGCTTTGAAATTCTTCACATCTCATTCACTGAAAACCACTATCTTGGTGTGCGATATTTAATTACAAAATTCAACAAAAGTAATAATTTTTCCTCCAAAAAACCACATCTCTTCATTTTGAGACAACTGTTTTTGTCCATTTCACTAATAAAATAAAAGATAACAAAGCAGTAAATTGCTAGAACAGTTTTCTTATAGGTAAATCCTAAAAAATTCAAAAATGGTCATAACTAATTACCGGAATGACTTCTGTTGTCACTTCCTGCTTGCTGAACCTGTAAATAATGACATGTGCAGAAACTCCAGCTATGCACAGCATTCTACTTTCTGGACACCACGAGATGATCTGAATAGCATATGGATCTTCATCTACTATATCTGTGTTTGGCCTGTCATCTTTATTCCGTGATTTTTCAAACACTTTGGCTGTTTTTAACTTATAGAGTACTTGCAGCGTTACTAGGAACAAAGTAAAAGAGAAAAATTAGTTTTGATCAGAACAGATTTTTTTTCTTCTCAATTTTTAATTTATTAACTTGTCTTCATAGTGAAAGAAATTATGTTCAGCAAAAGAGGGCAGAGTAGAAGCAATGAATATCTGTGTTGCCTCTGTCCATGCAGTGCACCACTTGATCAATATAGTATCAGTTAGTATAAAAGAAATACCCCAACACTTATCCTGAGAGATATATACTGAGCTACAGTTATAAACTAAGCCTTCACAGCTTCTCAAGGCTTTACTGTACCTCAGGATCTCGTTATAACAACATCATCTTGTTACATATGCCATATCTACAACTTAGTCGTGTCTATGGTAAAGGAAGTAAAGCTCCTTTTCTTTCTTTCCACAGTATTTCAAATCCATGGCCTCTCACCTGTGCTCTCATACGTAACACCCCAAATTCCTCCAATTTACATATTATTTTGTCTGATCATTCAAAAGTGCTGCCCTCTGATCAGTCCACTTTTTGTTGATAACAGGTTTCCTAGAACTCTTCTAGTGATGCCTTTCCACAGTTTTAAATAGTGAGTTACTCCATGTTGGTTTTACAGACATACCCACTTCCTTAAAGCAGTGATTATTTTTTTCTATGCAACACACACTGCAATTCATGAGATGTCCAATTTTTTTCCCCAGAAACTAAGTACTAAGTGTACATCATTCATACTATAGTCAAGTAAATTGTCTTTGATATAGCTACCTCTTGAATAGTATCCTTCTCAACTGCAATTTTAATTCTGTATTAAGTTTTCTTTCAAATACCTTCATGCTGTTTTCAAACTTCACAGGCATATCCTTTAGTCAATGGCCCAAATCACTGCTATAAATACTAATCATAACATTAGGAAAACTTAAATTATAGCATCCTTTCTCCTCTTCCATATTTCAGTGGTTTTACTTGAATCACATTTCCCTAGTTCACCTGTAAGACTGTCCTATTAGAGAGATTTAAAATCAATAGAGGATACTTGCAATTTCTCGCTTAACAGGTTTATTTATCTGTTTTAGAAAGAAACTAAGTGTCTTTAAGAGAATCTCCTTTGACAAATCTATGCTGAATAGATCTTTTAAGCACACAGAATCACTTGGTTCTGGCTAACCTCCTTCTCCTCTCTCTCCCAGGTTCTACTCCCACCCCAAACTCAAATTAAAGATCTATTACACTCCAAATAGTCCTCCTCCCAGTTTTTTAACATACACATTGCATCTGTTCCCTCCCACAACCACACACGCCTTAGCATTTTGGAATCTCATCAGTTTTCCACAGGTTTTCAAAGACAACTAATGATGATTCCAAGATTGCTTTAAACAACTTTTAAGTACCAAGAGTAAGGTTAGTCAGAACTAGATTAACTAAAACATCTAACTCTATGCAGTCATTTCTACTTTGAATTCTTACTGCATTTCTCACTGTGAGCTGTGTAGGCCATCAGATGCAATTGACCCTTTGACTGAAGATGAGAAATGTAAAATAGTATCAGACTCTTCAGGCCTGTTCAGTGTTCCAAAGAAAAGTTTCTTTATTTTACTCTTCTCCTGCCTTTCTTCACAAATGCATAAATCATTTTAGTAGCACAAATTTCTACTGGTTCCAATTCTCATTTTTAGATACTGTAATTTATGGAGAGCTGATGTCTTGAACACATGCCTCTCTCCTGTCCAAAAAGACAGAAATAACTTACTGAAAATCAATTGTATTAAAAAGGAATGCATTTCCCTGTCATGCATCTTCATGCTCAAAAGTAAAGTTTAAGGCGCTTCTAAAAAATTTTAGAATTCTTCTATATTAACTGGCCCTTAGACTACCAATGCATTTACTCTGAGGTAGTAAGAAACAGTGAAGCACCAAAGAAATAATGTCAACTATACTTAATTTTAAATAAAAATTTTCTGTGAAGTTACTGACTCTACAGAAGGCAAGAAATAATGACAATGACTAGTTTGCAATTACATTCCAATAAAGAAATCAGTTTAGAAAACTCCTACTGCACAGGAAAAAAATCTCTACTGAAAACACTTACTTGCTGAGGCATCCCAAAACTTGATTGACCCATCAGCATGCCTATGAAATATTAAAAAATTAATAAGACAGTAAAATGGTTAGTTGGAGTGCTAGACCTCTTTGTTACTGATTGGAAAGTATACTGTTAACATTCTATTTTTATTAGTACTCTTAGTGACACTTTATTTTCACAATTTATTGGAAGCTGACATTTTACCAACATGTGCTCCAATGACTTTGGATGGAAGGGATTAGAAAAACATCTGGAGGCTACCTCCCTGATGACTCCACTGTACTAATACTAATTTACCATTTTAAATACTGAGGTATACCTTACCATGTGCAGCTTATTAAAATATGCCCTATATTAGGAGCAACACTTGTAAAGAAGACACCTAAAGATACAGTATCCCACTGTAAATGAGTCACCTAATTTGTTTATTTAGCCTTGAAATGAAGAATCAGATGACTATATTTTTTCAAGACTGTCTCTCAAACTCTCTCCAAGGTGTAGTATAAAGTCACAGTAATCCTCATTCGGGCTAATGGGTTGTTCTAAAAAAACTTCATTAGTGCTCTTAATTTCAGTGACACACTGCACAGTAATAAATTAAATGTTGTTTATTAAATTGTTCCTTACAGTACTATTAGAAGGATCAGGCTCAAAAGTATTTGATTGTCCTTTCTGAAATAAAAAATTGGCTTCCCTTTAAGAACTGAACTCAAAATTACTTAATGGACTTCCTGTGCTTTAAAACAGTACTCAATATTTTCCAAGAATTAAAGAATATACGATAAGTTTGATCCAGGATACTTAGATAAGAAACACACAAAATCACAATACCGCATCATAATAATAATCTCTGAAAACACTCACTACCTTCCCTTCCACATTCTGCCTTACTTTCTCAGTAATGCCTCAAGGACATTATGCCAAGGACTTGTTTGGTGAACTAATTTCATAATCATTCAAACCACTCATAAAAAACAATGTTCTAAAAGATGAATAAAATAGTCTCAATTTTACTTATTCAGCTAAGAAAATTATTAGTACAGTATGGGATCACTTACCCTGTAATAATTATCTCTGGATAGCTCTGAGTGATCAAACCCCAGTTGCCTCCACTGATAGGCCATTCCTGGAAGATTAACAAAAACACTGAGGAAGAAAATATCATACAATGCAAAGTTAAGCCATTGAAATTACTGCAGATACTGCAGAATCCAGTATTTCACATGACTTCAAAAGAATTAGACATATCCACTGCAGGGGGTGAGGGGAAACAAACAAACAAACAAACAAACAAACAAAATCAACAAGGGTTATAAACACTACCCCTGTTCCAGGAATTCCTTTAGCTTCCAGTGATATGGCAATTGATGGGAGCACATCAGGAAAACATGATTATAAGGCTTGACACGTGACAGGATGAGTCAGATGGAGCTCTGGTCTTAGTATGGCCAATCGTTATTTAGACCTGCTGATTTTCAGTATTTTAAACCACACATGTATGTAGTAGATGTTGTACCTTCTTACTGTAACCTTGACGTTTCTGACGAGCACCAACTGAATAGAGTGCAGGTATGAGGTCCACAGGACAATCAGCAAAATATTCACAACAGGTAACTGGAGATTCATGTATAGTCAAAGGATAGGGATTCTCAAAGATAGGATACCTTCAAGGGAAGAAAGGGGAAGACTGTTAATCTAGGAAAAACCTTTTTTTAAAATGCAGAACACAAGTGAAGTACTGAAGACTAGGCTGGCATTCTTTTTGTACAGAGAAAAATAAATGCATATCAAATTAGATTATGGAGAAATATGCAACTTTACTGCTCATCTAATACACTATAAAGATAGATGGAATTGGAAGTTTGTACTGTTTATAGAGTATTTCTAGAACACCACTATTCCCTATAGCTATATATTTTTAAAAGCTTACTAATTTAGGCCTGTGGAAAAAATTAAGTTACCAAGTCCTAATTGTAGTAATGTGGAGATATGAATTTATTTCTAAGTCTTCAGTCTATTCTTCTGTGGCAAAAGACAGAAAGAGTCTTGTCTCACTTTGTATTAGTATACCATTGTGAGACAGCTGTCCAGCGCTTTTCAAAGTCTACTTGCAACTCCACGATCACTTTCTGAAAGCTACAGATTGCAACATTCAGTTACCAATTAGAAGAATATAAACACTTATGCTTCCCCCCACCATCTCCATCAGAAAAGTGACAGAGCCTTTATGAGGAAAAAAGTCAATAATACTAATAGAGGTAAATATATCTGTGTTCAAAGAACATTTATCTCGAGAGAAATGCATGCTATGTGTATGTTTTTTCCCCCTTTTTATCCCCCTTTTTTGAGAGGTGAAAAGAGACACAGCTTCTCAAGCCATCTAAAGGAAAAATTGGCAAGAACAGATGAAAACTTACTGCATACCAAGAATTTTATACATAGCTATCTGGAAAGCTTACAACAATCTTTTAAAACTGAATGAAGACTAGGCTTCACTTTAACAAAATATGACAAATCCATATTTGGATTTGGTAAAAGGAAGCCTGTAGATTTATTTTGGCATTAATTTTTTTGACTTTTTAGGTGTCAAACAATTAATACTTTGCAAGTCAATCATAACAAAGACCATTATAAGTCTTCTAAAAACACAACTGCTAAAGATTTTTTTAGCATGAAATAGAATAAGCCTTACCATAATTTCAAATTTCAGGCATTGCAAATTAAATATGAATTTTGGAAGCTTAATGCTACTGGTATATCAGAAACAAGTTCTGGATACAGCATATGGCTGTAACACTGGGAAAAGCTAAATGAGATTGCTCAGTACCTGGAGAGATATTAGGATAAAACCTGATCTTCTTCTGAATTCCATAGAGTCTTTATTATCTAAGGTATCACCTTAGATAACACACTTGACTTTAAGGATAAATATTTACAGGGTTTAGTTTTGCCCTACAAGGATATTCTTCACAAGGATTTTTTTTCATTGACCATTGGAGATTTTTAATCAGGAACACTACCAACATCTTATCGAGTCCCTCTGCTCCTAATCCCTTAATGGTTAGTTGTTGCTGCCTATACTAATTTTAAAACCCTTCTTAAAATTTTTGTAGTATCCTGAACTTTTAATCACCACCTATTAAGACTGTATGGACTGTCAACAGACAAAGAAACAAGAGACTCAAAATGTGCTAGGCAAGTATTATTTGTGAAAAGTGTAATAGGATACTACTCTTAAGCAACTTCTTACCACAGCTGTAAACTAGGGAGTAGATGTTATCATTCAAATTTTATGTATATGATAGTTATTGCATCAGTATTGAGTTTCTTTAAGCAATACTGATAGCAATTTATTTGGCAATTATATCTGCAAATATTTAAGCGATGACAACAGCCAAAATTACCTGGCTTATCTGATAAGTTCTTCTCTCTGCTCCCTTCCCTAAAACTGCAAGCTCCCCCTCACAGCACTAAGGAACCAACTTCAAAATAAACCGTGATACTTAAAAAGCAGCAGTGATCTATGAGTAATTTCTGTTAGTCAATCAAGCCTGGAAAAAGTCACATGATATTCTACTCATCTACTACATATTAAGCTGTGAAAAGTTGATATATTAAAATTCTCAGTTCAGTTGATGAAATTTTATATTTAATATTCAAAATTTTATGCTCTGGACAGGGAGTTATTATGCTAGATTAAAGCTATAGAGCAGAATAACAGGCTGATCACCACAGCCAACCATTACTACACAAGATTCTTACCCATTTTGTGCAAGGTCAATCACTACTAAGTCCTTTTCTAGGAGAACAACTACAGCATATGGTTCCTGAAAGTCTGAAAACAAAAGAAGAAAAAGTTACTTACTGGTAAATGGAGCTCATGCATGTATAACCTCAAGAATGTAATCAGTCTTCGCACTATAGCAGTTAAAATTAGAAAAAGCCACTTAGATGACTACAGTTTTTGAAGATATTTTATACATTCACCCTCCTGAATACTCCAAGTTAATTGCTCTTCCATTAATTCAATATTTTCAACAGCTCAAATAACAGAAAAAGGAACATGCAGAATAACTTGTATAAGCAGGTTATATGATAGAGCCAAATTTCTCAACAATAACATCCTCCCACCCCCAAACTCTTTGCCTCATATTCAGTGGGGTTTAAGTTTTAAGCAGTTACAAAATGGATTAAAGATAGCTGACTTGACAGTAAAATAAGAAACTTTAAGCAGTCGGTGAAGTGCATATTCCCCTCTTTCAGGCAGACCTCAAATTCCAAGCTAAGCAGTTTTATATATTCTGATAGAAGCTGACAGCTAAAAACACTGTAGTCATCAGCAACATAATGCTATTCATCTGGGACAACTAGCTAAACTATGATAAAAAAAATCACCTGCTGCAGAAAAGAGATTATAGGTTAGTGATGAACTTCATGTAAGTATTGGAATGAACAAAGTCACTAAAAGTACAAATAATACACGAATGCTCTTCATGATTTAGCATTGAGTACATACTATCTTTCCACCCAAATATGTACTGGTGAACACATTTGCTGCAGTAACTACAGCTTTAAGTTGTAATGCTACTTTTTATCTGCACATGCTTTTGGGATTAAAAAGAAAAAAAAAATGTACTGCATTACTTGCTTCCTTCTAGAAGCAAAACAGGCTTTATAATAAACTATGCTATTAAGATGCTTTGGGAAGTAAACCATACTTCAGATAAATAGGGATAACAGATGTTGCTTCTGAAGTCCAATCCCCAGAAACAAAACAGAAAGGAAATAGTCAAGAATATTCTCATGGGATAAAACTCCAGAGACAGGAAATCAAGGTACTGAGAAAAATCTTGAGCCTACCATTAGGATATGGTGTTTCACAGAGGGTTAGGAAATCAACAATAGAATAATCCATTTCTAGCACAGCAGTACTTTTTCCATGCATAACTGTTAAACAGGGTCTTCTTCCTACAGTGTCATACGACAAGCCTCCTGAGAGAATGATGAAAGGCTCCCTGGAATAAAGCAGAGGCATTTAGGATCAAGCCAAGATAATATACTAAAAGATATTGGGCAGGTTTTGCAACCTTACAATAAAGTTCAATGAGATATCATTAAGCAGAGATAGAGTAAAAATAATGCAAACCAGCTCTCCATGCAATATACAGCTTGAGTGTGAGTTTCAAAACTTAAGTTATAGTCTTCAAACTCTTGTTTTAAGTCAGACATCTTCTCCAAACCTTTCATTCCATATTGCTTATTACCAATCTTTGCAACTGCTTGGCAAAATGAGATTTTTTAAAACTTTGTACAACTTTAGAATTGCTTTTCTTCTACTGAACTGCAGTCAGATTTGCCAACAGTCCCATTCATCCATAATATAAAACAGTCTAGCAGAATCAGGAAGAAATAGAGTAATATGACTGCCTTGGAGAAGCTCGATAAATTTCAAAGACCTAACATCTTTTAAGTAGTATCACACATTTACTCAAGACATTTTAGCCATTTTCCCCCCCTACTACCATGCACAAAATTCAGGAAACTACTACGTCACAGACTACTCCTACTGCATAATCAAATATCTGAGTATAGAGCAAAAATACTTCTTCTAGTTTTGCGAACAGATTAGATGCTTCCCTTGAAAGATTTTTAAAAAGCCTTTAGAGGAACATATTTTTAAATACACCCATATTTTTCAAATATGCACATAACATATAATTTATTATTTCATTTACTGAAAAACAAGATGAAGTAAATATATCCATTTTACCATATATTTTTTTATTTCCTGATTATCAAGCGTCACTCATTTTAATACTTCTTATGTTTGAAATAGGACATAATATCTTTTAAAGAGCAGTGTTTATAAGTATATAGCTCAAGAAATAAATGTCACCCATTACTGACTATTGCCTCAAATTCCACATTATATTTCTGAAGGAAAAATAGGCACTTTGAGTGCCTAACAATTATCTCTGATCTACTTTTATGCTCACTTTACATAGAAATCCTACCCTTCATTTGTGTCTTTCTTAGAAGCAGCTAGTATGTCAGTATCTGGAGAAAATTTCTAGTAAAAAAAGCCATCCTGATATATTGTAAAAAGAGGCTGAAGAGATATAACTTTTTTTTATCCTTTCCTATAACACCATCTTTCCCATACTGTCTAAATGGCTTTCACTAGTTAGCATTTGAAACACTAATGTGAGACTAGATACATCTTTATTCTTGAAATAAAGATGTCTATAAAGCATCTGGTTTATGCACATGTTGGCCTTCATGAATTTAAGGCTTGGCTGAAATGTGCTCTGTGTTTGTAGCATTGAAGGCAAAACAGACTGAGACAAGCTTCCATCTTCTACAATTACTTCACAATCTGCCTGATCCTCCAGAAAGACCTGTGACTGAAGATTTGATAAGATCAAAGAGTACTGCTGGCTGAGGAAGAGACCTGAATGGAATGCCATACACTGGACCATAGATCCATTGAGTTAAATATCCTGCCTCCAACAGTAGCACAAAGTGTATTTCTAGAAAAGGATTAAGTTTTTTCCAAGTTTTCATTCAATCTCAGTTCTTCATATTGAAATTTCACACAATCTTTTATGGTCAGGTCCATGAAATAATTTGAAGAAAGTTACAAACTTGAATTTAACCTGATATTTTTCAGGATGTCAGTGAAGAGAAAAATACTGGTGTGATGTATGTGCAATATCTCATTGTGTTGGAATGATTTACTGCAGTACTTTTTTGTCCATAGAAATAATTAGGTTTTTTAAGCAGTAATGCTGCCAGGACAATTTGCAGAAATTAATGGACTTGCACCTTCACTGAGATCAACTGACAATACTAAAGTGACAAATTTTAGTTTTTAATTTTCATACAACACAGTGACATGACAGTGTGTTGGATTCTCCTGGTTTTATTTCTCCAGGTAATCAGACTGCTTTGGGCAGGCTTGCCAGTCCATATCCTTAAGAAGCAAGGAATGGAGGAGATACGAATACATTACACTGATCTGTCACATGGATTTTTCAAAATGAATCAAAGATTAAAGTTGACTTTAGTCTGCCAGAAAGACAGCTAGAGGTTTCCATATGAATTTTTCATATTTTCATGAAACCATGGATTTACCATGAGCACAAGCTGTGTATTTTCTAATTAAAGGGTTGTTCTTCAGCTGTGATACATGTTAAAAGGTTAGTACACATGAATGTTATTAGAAATACTTAATTTAAAAGAAAAGTTAAAGAGATTTGTACATTACATCGATCGAACCAACTTTGGTAATTTAAGAAAAAGTAGTGCTCAAGTCTTAGAGAACTGCTATGTAGCATTTTTAGCAGCTGCTCCTATAGAGATTCTGTGAAACAGTTCTGCTTCAGCAGGTTTGGAAGTAATCTCCTTACACGAATTTCCTCATGAGTTAAATCTCTAAAAATCTCTTGGAGAACACTATAAGAAATTCACTACAGAGGGGGGCAATGTTTCATTGAAAAAAAATTCAGAAAACACAGAATTAGATCTTGCAGTATATGAAAACATAATACAGTGGAGAGCCAAATGGCTCACAACCCTGGAGAATGTTTCTAGTAAATTTTAGAAGTAAACTGTCAAATGTTAGCCAGTTTCTGGCAGTCCAGAGGTGTGAGAGAACAGTAGGTACAGAAATAAAGCCATTGGTACCATCCGGCTTACTTTTCAAACCATAAGTAAATTTGTCAAAAAGTTAATGCTATTATAAAGATGGAAAGGACTTCGAGAGTTAGTTTGCCTTAATACTGGCAATCCTGAGGTAGTAAAGATAAATTACCAATTAGTTTTTGGGAACTATGCTTTTGAACTGACAAGCTTACACAATAAAATAGTACTATTCAAACTAAATTAACAGATCAAGAACTTTTACTTAGCAGGAGACATCATTATTTACGTAAACTCTAGGTCCCAATTATATACATCCATCTTGCTAAAAAGTACTGCTCTATAGTCAGTCAATGACAGCTGCATCAGCTGCCAAGACAATACTCTTTTTTGATTACATTTTATGGGGAGACTTTTGAGCTCTAAATTCTATTAGACAAAGCTCTAGTAGAAAATAATAAGCTTGGGCACTTTTACTATAATGCTAATATCAATCAGAGTAAATACTATAAGGTACTGATTCACCAGGGGTGGGAAGTGGCATTAAGAAGGACTGAATTCTGGGGGGTGGGAAGTGGCACTAGGAAGCTCAAGAGCTTCTCTAAATAAACTTTAGACAGAAAAAGTACGCATAAAAGGCAATGTGGACGTCATTTCAGAAAGCTCAAAAGGTAACCTACCTTTGGAATTCATTGAGTCACAAAAAGATGGAGCATTTTAGATGAAAAATAGCTGCAGTACAATGACCTTATGCTCTGGGATTGTAAAATTATGCCAGTTTGCTCAAGGAATATAACAAGAATTTGCCTTTTTGACTCCCAAGCTGTCAATAGCAACGTTTCCAAATGTATTCTCCCAGAGATAAAGGCACAGACATACAACTCTTGTAGGGTAAACCACTTTGGCTCTGAAGATTTCACTGGCAGTATCTGCATTAGACTTAAAAAAACCAACCAACCAAAAAAAACCAAAAAAAACCCACAACAGAAAAAGCCACCAAGTTAGAAAATAAATAGCTAGTCTGTGAAAACCAGAAAAAGCATCATGTCCTCCCATTTCCCTGACTCCAGCTTTGCAATATGGAGAACATAATGGAGAAAAAAAAAATGAGAAGGGATTAATAAGAGCTGCAACAGTAAAAAGAATAGTGTCTGTAGCCCTTAATACAGGTTGCCAGCAGTCATGTTCCTTCCTTTTGTGGGGCTCCAAACATCTTTTCTCAAAAAAAAAGTTTATTAGAATTAGAAGCAGTAAAGAAAACAATTAAGATCATATCAACAGAGTGTTTTCCACAGGAGGAGATACTGAAACAACCTAGATCTTTGAGCACTCTAGACAGGGGGAAATAAGAAAGGGGTGACAGAAAGATGTTAGAGGTTCAATATAAAGCATGGGAAAAGTGAATGTTTTTCACAATAAAGAATTGAAATATAACTTAAATATGAATTAAATAGTACCTCAAATGTAAGCTATTTTGTTTCATTTTCTTCTGTGATTTTTTTTTATTTTCTTTCTGAAGAACAGTTATAGCAGACTGCTATAGAAACAAGTTTATTTGGTTTGTTTTTTACATTGTTTCAGTAGCTAGAAAAAATTTTATCCTGTCCAGAAGTGATTCTCCTCTGTGCTACAGAAATTAAACTATGAACAAGAAATGACAGTGCTTTACATAAAAGTTATCTTATTCATATATAACCAATTTCAAATCGTAAAGAGAAAACCTATCAAAATTTTAAGTCTTGAAAAGTAGTTCTGCCTCACCTTAAAATTCTTGTAAGATTACAAGTGAAACTGAAAACAAACTCCAAACTGAAGTACATGTAGCAGGCAAATGAACGGAGATTTTCAGTGCACTGCTTCACCACAGTGCAAACTGGTGGGGTTTTGTTTGTTGTGAGTTTTTTTCATCTCCTTTCTTAATTAAAGTTCAGGATAAGTATCTACAATTGCAGATTTAACAGTACACTGAAGACAGCAAACATTAGAGAGTATATTAAATTGAAATATAGCAAAACATTCAGTTTGGAGAAACACTGGAAAGTGAGCAAGTGAGAGGTGTAACCAAAAAAAAAGCCCAACACTAGGAAAGATGTGCCTCCTGAAAACCCCATGTATTCTTAGAAGTTATACTAGAATAAGCTCCTCTTTAAACTGTGTGAAAAGTCAACTAGTTTTCACACTGTAATATGTCACAGAACAAGCTTCAAACTAATCTTCTCCTTCAGAATGACTATTTAGAATAGAAGGCTTTTGATTGCAGACATTGTGACTTGCTGAAGCTGAGATTTTTTGATTATTTCTCTTTCTTTAGATCAGCTTTTGATCTTTCAGTTGAGAAAGGATTATGCAGACAGATGTAGACTTCTGCATGGCTTTCCAGCTGATCATAGATTTTCATACATCTGGGAGCTAGCCACAGTCTGAAATTTCTATTTAGCTCACTTTGAGCAAAAAATAAAAATACATAAAGCCACTGATATAAGTATGGGTACACCAATTTGTAGTAAACTATATTGCATCAATAACAATATTCTATAGATTTGAACACCTGGAAAACAAATGAAAGTGATACAAACACCCTCCCCAACAGTAAAAGAAAACAAAAAAACCCAAAAGAAATCCCCCCAAAAACCAAAACCAAAATAAAAAAAAAAAAACACAAAAGCCCCAAACAACCCAAAAACCAAATTAAAAAACCCACAAAACCCAACCAATCAAAAAAAAAAAGTTTTCATGAATATTTTCTTTACACTGCACTTTTCACTCTAACACTTTAAAGCACTTTACAACCACAAATAAAAGAAATTCCACACAGTTCATGAAATCCATCTGTCCTAATTGCAGTCTTGGTAACAAAACACGCTACTCTAGATATGTAATTCCATCTGAGCCTCTTGTTGCAATTACTGCTTTGTTACATTCTCAATGTGCATAATTAGGCACATTTCACTGTGTAAATCACTGCACTCTACTAGAAAAGCTTCTGTTAACAACATTTTTTGGGGGAAGAACATGTATTCAGAATTTAGAATATTTGCATCAGGCCATTTGTTGAAGTTCAGTTTATCATGTCTGTGTTTTGGTGTCTTCTGTGCTTTATCAGCCTTTCTTTTCTTAAATAGTCTCAAAAATTTAGCAAAAATACACACAAGTTTTAGTAGCATGAAAAGCATGTAGATAATGCATTAGCAGTATCTCTACCTAAGTTAAGGTTTGTGTATATTAATTAGTTCCTATATATGTTTTTGTAGTTTGTTCATCAATACCTGATTTGTCAAAACTAAAACAAAGCTATTTTACCATAGCTCAGTAGCAACAGAATATTCATCCCAACAACTGGGAAACAATGTATATTGCCAGAGCACTACATTTCTTTTATGTATGTTCATTTTGCATACAAAAGAAGTCTTACCCAGCTCTAGTAGTTTTATATTCCACCTTAAGAATAGGTTTGCAGGGTTCTGGCTTCTTTCCATCCTTCAGCTGCTTTCCTAAAGCAAATTATTTTCTTATATTAATCTTACAGTTCATTATGGCAATTAATGGAATTCACTATCCAACATGAGAAGTAGAACATTCATATAAACATATATTCAGCAACTTTGACAATTACAGAGTATGTCTTGGACTAATATAATTAAAAATTTGTTAAACTCTCAATACACCAACCTTGAATGTTTACAAAAAAACCCAACCACCAATCCTATACCTAAATGTTGTAGAATATTTATTTTCAAACATATAATCATCCCCTAAAGTCTTGCTTTAAGTAGCACTAGGAGATTTAAAGTTTGTGTCAAGTCTTTTGCAATTAAAATCGGTTAGCTTACAAGTACAGTGAGGTTTATCCTGGTGTTATCCTTCAGGACTAAGACTTCAATTGAGCATGAAACCCTGCTCTTCCTCAACTGTGCACTATTGGCAACTGAAGCTACTATAGATACAATTTTTCATAGAGTCAGTAGAAATTAAGGGTGTGGTGTAAATATACATCTTTTCTATCTGACCATTGATAAAATACGATACAACTACGAAGTTCTGCAGAAAATTTAATTTCCAGCCCATAATAAAAATAATCTTTATTAAAAGAGGTCAAAACATATTAAAATAACGTTAGCTTTGTCTAAGTAGTTTTACTACTACAGTAACAGTTTCTTTTTCAACGACATGAAAAATGGTACAGGATCATATAGAAATCCACAGCTTCTGTTTTTCCACTCTAGTCCATGGTCAGTACAGTAAACATGGCCTTCCTAGAGGCTCAGACAGATAAACCAGGACACATAACTACAGCATTCTGCACTACATTTGTAACCTCACAGATTATCCTCACTGTTACATTACTTAAGAATCTGAAGTAAATAAATTGTTAAGACATAACTTAGAGACATGCACACCCTGTAACCTTAGGATTTTATAGAACTTAGTTGAAGAGCAGCAGCATATTTCACAGAATAACAACATGCAATGTTAATTTCCTAAATTAACATTAATGTAAGACCTCTCAGAAGCGGGAACATTTGACCAGATGCTAGTCTTATTCTGTTACAAACCTTTTCCAGAAATTGACGTGGTAATCTACACATTTAAACGTAAAACAGATGCTTCCTTATATGTATTTTAAACAACATATGGGATTGCAATGTCAAGCAAAAAGCAAACCCTGCAAAATTAGTTAACTTTGAGATCAATGCCACTGTGTGAAAGGCAAGCTTGAAGTTTAGAGATTTAGAGAAAACTACACTGATTTGGATTCTTATTTCATAAAGACTTTTTTTAGTGAAATCTACCAGAATTTCATAGGACAGAGAAAGCTTTTTCTTGCAATTCAAGTGTACTTTTAATATTTGTTTTTTGCAAAACACACTGCTATTAAAAACAAGTCCTCTGTGTTTTAAGAGCTGCCAAACACAGTTGGTATCCATTTTCATCTTACCATGTGGAGTGATTGTCTGGAATGGTTTGGTAGGAGATTTTACATTCCATATGGTCAAGGTACCATCTGAGTGACTACAAATAAATTGTTTGCCTTCATGATGCCAAGCCACAGAGTGGATAGCCTATGCAAGAGAAGAGAAAAAACAGAACAGCACAAGTTGTGTATCTTATCATTTTATCCTTACATCTTCCTCAATGACATTAGACAGTGTAAGCAAATTAGAGAAATTACTAATTAAATATACTGCTCTTAGTATGTACTAATTTACCCATAGCAAGTTTTCTGTTCTTAAGTAGTACCTTCAGTCATACTTTATCCATCAAAAATACTGTCTTCATTGTAGTGACATGTTTAAGGAGGGGAAAAATCATCCTCCTCAGCGTAGCATTGAAGCATTTTTCAATGAAAGGTAGCACACAGAGAATAACTGCAAGCAATTATTTGAGCTTTGCTAACCAAAATTTTTCACTATTGGGAAAAACATACTGTCCATACAAAAAACATGGGATGGGATTATTATGTCCAAGTATTATATGACATTTTGAGGTGTCTATATGGATGTGCACAAAAGGCAAGCACGGGCTGAAAATATAAGCAAAATGAGAATAGAGGTAGCAAGGTTTTTTGAAATTATGATGACAAAACCAAAGTATTATTGAAGAAAATACTCTAACATTGCAATGGCAGTTTTGAGGTGCAGGAAAGTACAGAAATCTACTAGTAAATCTTTCATAAAAATCTTTCATATATACAGGAACATCTTTATTTTCATAAAATTAAGAATGGAATGATTAAGCCATGCCACATGAAATCTGCAGAAAAAAGCTGACTAAATAAAGTCCTCTGTGAGGAAACATGGATGTATGAGTAGTAAAGAACTGTAACTAGCAATGAAAGCTTAAGCAATAACTATTAGGTGAAGAGTAAATCTCATGAGACAAATCCAAGCCATCTTTGCCCAAACTGATTATACACAGATCAGGTCTTCATATTTCATACAGTTATACAAAGAAACAAGACAGTTTCCAGCAATATGACTGGGAGAATCCAGAGCTTAAGTGACAGAGGAAAATGGCTACACTAAATGAGTGGAGTCTTCAATAATAATTTTTCCAGTCTAAAGTAGTAGAAGATCTGGATATATGTAAACTACAGATTAACTAAGTTTAATATTTCTTGGTGAAATTTAATCTTGTTCCCTATGTATTGTGGAATCACTATAGATTTTGCTAGAATACAGATTGTCTGTACCAATATCACATCTGCACATTTAGCTCAGAAACCTAGATGATTCACATGATGTCTCCTAGTGTCAAAGTGAAATAGTCTTGCTCATTCTGTACATGAAATTTTTGTTTAGCAAAAAAAAGGTTTTACAAAATAAACTTTGCATAAATACAGAACATTTGTTTTTATTTACCAACATAGTACCAAATAAAGGAAGAGATCAACAGTAAAGAGACTCAGTAAAGAGAAGGTTTCATTTCAAAAAGTTCTGACACTAGGAAATTAAAATATCTATGTTATGCTTAGCAATACAATCCAATCAGTACATTTTACATACTCTCCCACACTCTGACAATTTGCACCCCACAGTGCAAATGGAACAGTTTGACACACACTTATGTAGAAATAGGTCTTAAGAACTAGTAAGAAAGCAAGCTTTATAGAAGTAAGGAAGGAAGGACAAATCTGAGAAATGAACACTACTTCCTTTTCTTGAAAAACAATCTCAAGAGGAATGCAACAATCTGTTACTGTTGAAACAGCATTAATGCTTAAGAACATAAAAAGATCTGATAAACTGAGCACAAAGGAGAAGGATGACTGCTACCACAGTTTCTGCAAGGAACATGAAGGGATGGAAAAAAATCACTGAAAGAGAATGATGAGTCTTTTGTTTTATGGCTATTTATTGCTAGTTTTATAGAACCACTTGTTATATTTAGTAATGTAGCTACATATTGTTTAAAGTGCAACAAAAATACGTGTTTTATGTTTTATAAAATAATCCAACTAACAATACTATGGGCTGGGTATGATAAAGTTTTGTACAGAGCTATCCTTTGCTATCACACAGTTCACAAATTCTTGCAAACCTGAAAAACAAAACCAAACCTGTAAGTAGCTGCAGCATAATCTCCAGGTACAACAGGCTGGTATATCTACAGTGACAAGTCAGCTATAATGAAAAAAGTACAATAAACTTACATAGTACTGGTTGGTTAGCATAAAACAGAAAGATCAAGCAGAATCCACTGAGGCTGCAAATCTATGCATAGCTTCTCAGACATTAAAAGGCCCCCACAAGTAATATATTTTTCCAATATTTTTAAAAAATTTACTGATTCAGAATAAAACTCGAAGTTTTAATCATAATTCTCATCATGATTTGAACTTCACCTGTTACCCCTTTGGTACCATAATGCAGCAGTATGCTTTTATCAGCTGGTGCAGATTCAACTGTCTCTCAAATATTTTTTTGGAATGTATCACTTGTCAAACAGATCCCAAACTGAAAGTAATACCTTATAACAAGATCGTATACAAGTACCACAGAGGACTGTTACTATATTTAAGGCACAAGACATCTGTATCAGGTAGAATTGTCTGCACAGGTAAAACAAGTCCTGACCTCAACTAACATTCTGAATCCTTCCATTTACAAACCTGAACCAAATACAGTGAAGTTTACAGGAATTTATACAGGGAACACTCTATTGAAAAAGCAATGAAGTTTATCTAAATAAATCTTTAAGTTTACTTAATTACAACTGAAGGTTTCTTATTAAAAGTATTCCTACCCCCTTCCCTTTAATTCAAATTTAAGGTAGCTGTTCTGGACCGTAAGGAAGTTTGTTTCAAAACTTCTGAGACAGTTACATGTTCTCCTGGGAGGGAAGGAAATCAAATCTTACTTTTTCGAATAACAAACACAGCACAATTGACCACACTGCCCTACGTATGCCAAAACTTTACCAGAAATTGTAGAAACTATCTATCCCTGAGTATTATGTGGAGACAGGCTGTACACAAAGGCAGCCTCACTTTCATCACCTGTTCCAGAAGGATTATCCCATGTGGAAAAATGACAGCCATACTGCCTGCAAAGAACATACACATATTTGATTTTAAGAAGGAAACATTCTTGCACCAACTAGCTTTTCAAGAGATTAATACACATTTAAAAACATTTTATGTCTATATCCCTAGAAATCAGTATTATTTTTGGCTCTTTTAAGAGGTACAAAAACTAACAATTTAAATGGAATCTTACAATGTAATATACAAGTTCATCAATAAAGAGTAAGCTCTATTCAGCAAAACTAAAACATCAGTGTGTTATCACTTTCATAGTGAATCCAACACAACACACATAGCACTGTGGCAGCTATTAGGATGAAAATTAAACCTATCCCAGCCAAAACCAGTACATGCAGGAATTCACTGATGTAAATACAAAAGCTATTAATTTAAGCAGTTTACTCTGTTTTCAAAAGAATTTTTAAATTCATTTTTCCAAAACCAAGTTTAGACTACTGCAAACACAGTTGGTAAAACTCAGGGGAAATAAAAAAATCTAAGTAAACTGTCCTTTTTTTTTAACTAATATGCATCTTATTGCTTACTTTTCAAGTATAACACAATTTGTGGGAAAATAGTTCTGAATACTTTCCCAGAGGAATGCAGAGACACTGATAATTCCTTTCATAATTCTTTGGATTTTGCCATGATCATTTACTTTCTTCTGACATTAATTTAGCTTGAAATATACTGTGCAAGACATAAGCAAAGTCATTCTGCAAGCCAGACTGATTATTAACCATAGCCTATCCAGATTTCACTGCCTTATTATGAAAGTCATTTAATTTCCATGGACACTCTCAGTATTTCTGTTAATGAACAGATGATCATACTGACTCCTTTTCTACAGGTTTACCAAAATATTCAAAGAAAGTATAGTAAAACTTGGTAGTACCTATGTTAACCCTCTTGTCAACAATCTAAGAAAAGAAGGGGAAAAAAGCTGCAAAAGGAAGGAAAAAAAAAAGAAAACAACAAAAAAATGCAGCTACTGAGATTTAAATGACAATACATCATGAAGATTGTTTTGATGAAATGAAATACACTGACACACTTCGTTTTCTGGCAAGTCACATACCAGGGTTGTTTCTCTTTCCCCAGTCCTCTTAATTCCACAGGCTACTTTGACATGTTTTTAACGCTGGAAAATAATCTCTTACACTCAGCCATGTACCAGAATATTGTGTCTAAAAATAGTAATCTATAATACATTACAGTTAATGCTATCAAAGCTTACTTTACATCAGAACAAACAAAATATTACTTGAAGAAGAGACTTTATTATACAATTAGTTTTAGTTTTCAGAAGTTACATTTGAGGGGTATTTTTTAGAAACAAAACTTATAGTTGAGAAATTTGTTTTATTTCTTTCCTGGATCAAAATACAGGCTGGGAAATAACTGCAATATAAGTGTATTCCACATAAGAAATGCAAAGCTTACTTTAAGTCCCCAATGCCTGAACATAAAAGGCTTAAGAATGGTGCAAAAAAAATTTAGTCTTATTTTTTCATTGAGCCTGCCCAGGAAAAAAAAGGATGCTTTAAGTAAAGGGTTTCAAAGAAACCTTCTAAAGAAAGGTCCCTTCACAACTTCAGTTCTACTATGCAGAGATAATTTCCTTTAAATTATCTGAAAAAGAATATTACATTTGTGTATTATTTAAACTAATTCTAAATACACAAAATATTACTGTTATAATAAAAAATATACACCACTTTAAGTCAGGATATTATTCCCAATATAGAAAAACCAAGAATAAACTCCAATTAAATTCCCTGAATTTTCCATGAACTAGAATGTTGTGGAAGGAAGAATATGCCAGCAATCAACACTAATCGTGACATAGAGCTGACTCCCTCAGCTATGGTTAAGCAGAAATACCATTACAAATGGTTTGGGGGTGGTGATGTTTCTGCCCTTGGGATGAGTGTCCTAGTGTTCTTGTGCAACAACTATTAGAGCAGGGTGCTGGAAAGGTACACATGTGAAGAAAATGGTGTTCCACTGACCTAGGTTTCAGCAACAAAAGAGACTGCCGCACTACAACATGGGAATTTGCTTCAGGAAAGCCTCCTAAAGGTCAGGCCATTTGAAATGAAACCAAGCAGGAAGCTACAAAAACGTAATTGGATTCAGCTTCTTCCCTCAGGAAATAACACAGATATCTTTTCACAAACCTCTGATCACGCACGGAGTTTGACCCTCATTATGATCTTCCTCTGCTAAGGAACAAAAGGATGACATTTGGATCCCTTCACACATTCAAAGTTTTGAGTCAAAAAAGTTGCATCAAATGACTGTGATAGACTGCACAAGCACTCAAGTTACATGCTCTAAGACTAAAGTAATCTATAAAGTGATGAGAGAGGAGGAAACTAATCCAATGGCAAAGTTTCTAGCAACCATTCTTTATGGTACCAATGTGCCTGGTCACCCAGCTCATGGTGCCTGAGAAAGCCTAACCACCCACTAAGATGGCAAGTATGACAAAATTGAACTAAGTAGCTCTCTTCTTACTAGTTGTCAACTCCACACTCAGAAGAGCTCTCACCAAGAACAGGTGGAGAGCCAAGGACATAAATCCTGAGGTTTAAAATCCTACTCCTGCTACAGGGCAGAATGTCATGTGCCTTCACCAATGTGAGAAGAGGTAAAACATGTTGTGACATTAGGTACTTCCTTCCCCTTAAGGGTGCGTTATCACACATGTCCATGGACCTTATGGTCAGTGTATGAAAGAAGCTCCCTGGTAAAGCCACTAAACCAGAGTCAACAAGAAACTATCTAGAAAGGTTCTGTGTACAGACATAAGACAAAATAGAACAGTTAAAAAGAGTTAAGTAGAGAAGAGCATGAAGAATAAAAGGTATACAAAGAGTTTCAGACTAGAAAAAGATGGAGATATGAGTAAGTTTCTGAAACAAATTACAAATAGGTGCATGCAATGAAAATGGGAGAGAAAAATATTCTTCACTTAACATACTTTAAGGCTTATACAGACATTTCTGAATACAAAGAAACCTCATTCAGCTCTGATGATCTACAGCTTAGACTACTTCAGAGACTTCCCTCTTCAGAGAAACTCTTAATTGGTAGAACATACAAGTATCAAACCAGAACTGCCACCAAAAAAACACCAAAAAACTCCTCTAAATCATGTCTCGTGAAAACTTCAGCACAGGGCTATGGAAAATACACCTGCTGTGAAACAAGTAACAGGCCTAGCTGGTATTGAACAATGACACAGCCATTTTACAATCAATAAAATATAACTGAAACAACTTTTTGTTATTTTTAAATAAAGTACATCAACTTGCATATTATGCTGAATGACTTTTCTTAATCTCAGTCTTTCAAAAAGTTTATTCTCAAGAATAAAGGTTTAAAGAAATGAATGCCATTTAATGCCATTGTTTTTTTAAACTTCCCCTAGCCTTATCCCTGATCTTATCCTACAGAGAAAAGGTGTGTTTATAGAAATGTCGCAATGAATTATCTAGTAGTTTCTTCCCCCTCCTGTTTTCAGAATATGCAAGAGATTCCAAATTACAGAAATTGCTAAACCATGTAGTTTCAACTTAAGACTCAAGCTCTTAATATAGGTGAAAATCACATGACTAAAAGAAAAAAGATCTGAAAGCTTCACCCACAAAAAAATTTGTGAAGAAATCCAATCCATGCCACCATTCACTACTTCACAAACTTAAATTCAGTAAACTTATTTGAAGTTCATTGTCCAAACTATACTGCTCTATTAGAGAAAACTTCAAGTACTTGTAATTTCAAAGAAACCTATTTATTGATCCACTGGTGACAGAAGCTGTATAAGAAATGAAAAAAAAAATAAAAATCACCATTAGAGTAGTGAATGATATCCTCAGAGTAAGTAATGCAGATGAAAAATGTTACCTCATCATGTGTGTATCTGTAATCTGCCTTCTTTGACTTCAGGTCCCATAATACCACCGTTCCAGATTCAAAGCCAATCAGAAGCTGCATTAATAAGCAGAATTGTTAAGTCTTTATAAGGAAAAGCAAAATTATACCATTTGCAATGCCTGTAGTTCTTGTTCCAAAGATATGCATTACCATACTTCATGTAGTAACTGAAAGTAGTTACAAAAATAAAAATTAAAGAGGCGAAGACCTAAATGCTAGAAAAGTTTACTTTGTACTTGTCATTCTCCTAAAGTCCCAGCAAATACAATGGACTTTCATGCAAAACTAGAAAAAAATGAAAGTATCATTCTGAAGATTCCTTGGAAATCGCTTTGTGTTCCAGAAAGATCAACACTAAACCTTGCTAAGTGTATTCCTTACTGAGTGAAAGTTGGGGGGGCGGGTGGCAGTGTTGAAAAATAGAACTTCATTGTGCGTTTTCCTCACTGGAATTAATTCTGCTTAGATTTGCTGGAAGAATATACTACCCTCCCTGAAGTTTTAGGTAAGAGTTCATTTTCTACAATGAAAGTACTATAAACTTTCTCCAGATATTATTTACAATTAACATAACTGGCTAAAGAAAGACCAAAACCATTATTTATTTATAGGAGGAAAGCTAGAAAAATTCAAGAAGATAATTTCCCAAATAATCTTTTTGCTAGAAGCAAGATTAAACCTTTTCTGAAGGGAGAGAAGACTCAAATTGCTCACTATAATTGGTCTAACACATTGCTGAGTATCTACATGTTTTGCTCTCCTATTTCAAGTGACACTTCTCTTAATGGAAAAAAAACCCAAACAAGGCCAATATAAGGCAGTAGTAACAGTCTTGCCACTTATTACATGGAAGAATGCAGTGCAGCTTCAGCTTTCCTAGTTGCTGGATCTACTGTGAGATCTTTCCTTTGAGCATTGTTGCTACAGCAGAAGCTGCTCCTAGGATTGAGTAGCATGCCTTCGCTTCCAGTTTTTCCCCAACATGGACATACAAAAAAAGGAGAAGTTGGCTGCTACAGTTTACTCTGTTGAAACAGACTATTTCCTGTGAGCAATGTGCCCTGAGGAGTGTCCTTCAGATTGTAAGTCAGAAACCACTGCCTTCACATGAACTTAGATTTAAATCAATATGATCTATTGCCCCACCTAGATGTTTTGCTTGGACAATCTTTTCAGTGTTAAGATTGTCAGGGTGTACAGCTGTTTTCAATATGAAAAATAAGAGAGGACCTCCTATCAGCTTACAAAATATTTTACCTCTTTCAGCACTAAAACCCCATAAAAATTAGACATGTTTGATCTAGTAAAAGTGAATATTCAATTTTTTCCATTAGTGATATGCACACTATTAGTTTAAATCAACTTGCCAGTTATAAGCCATATTTTATAACTTTTCTATTTTAACTTAAACATTAGAAAACCCACTGCTTAGAAGGCTAATAGAATGAACAAAATTTAAAAACGAGTACATAAGGGGTTCTTGCAACAGCACAGGGTTTTTTTCAGCAATATTTTTCTTAGGAGAAATAAGAGAAGTGTAAGGTCAGAATCTAAACCACTGATATCCTGATCAGTAAACCCAGTCATTTTTAAACTTCAGTGGACAAAAATTAGATGTGGGGTGGAATACACCAAAATAAATAAATAATTTTTCTTTTCTGAAACTACCATAGCTTTATTGTGTTCATATTCTAGAGTCCATAAGCCTGGAATGTGACTCAAACCTAATTCTACAGAGAAAATCATTAGTTATGGACTTACTGCAGTGAGCCTCACCCTAATGAAAAAACTCCACTCATTACATTCTCTTTATTGGACTGAAACTTCAGGTGTCTATGATACAAGCTCATACTCATAACTAGCTAAAACATTCAAACCACTATGACAATAGTATCTCTTCGATTGTCTCCAATTTAATCTACCACTGACCTGTGAAACAAAAAGTAAACAAAAAAAATGTGTCTCCTGCATATGGAGAACACTACTAAGCAAACTATTTTCCCTCTCCCTGAAGACTCTTTACACATGGGAGTTCAAAACTCTAGTATATTTGCAACATTACACTGACAAAAATAATAATTCAGTATTTAATTCATCACACTACTCAATCGCTTATTCCTCGTTAATGTAGAGTGGTGTTATTAATGCAGACGTTTAAATCAGCATCAAGGGCTCTCTGGCTAAGTTTTAACTGTACTTTTGCCAGGGGTCTACGTAGTTCTGGAAAAGGTTCATATAACACTGTTGCTTTCAAATAATTCTTTAAAATTTTGCATTATTCTTATTGTTAAAATTAAGGAAAACCCCTCCTGTCTACTCTTCAATGTGGACCAAGTAATCTGAACAAAATTAGCAGTAGACCACTAAGATGTGCTAACTAACTATATGGGGCACACAAGCTAAAGCATCTGAAAACCCTTCATAGTGTCTTAGCCCTGTGACACCAACCCAAATCTTGCAAAGAGGTCCACTTACTTAGCCTTGTAACCATGACTTAGGTGGGGAATGGAAGATTTGGTACTGCAGCAATTGCTGTCACCTAGAGAAGACGTACTGGCATTTTAACTCCTTGCTTTCTCTTTTTAGCTCACAGTGAAGACTTAATTCATTAAGTTATGCATTCTACATTGTTTTTTCATGGGCCTCATAACAGATGTCCCACAGCAAAGGGTAGTACCTGTAGATTTACTTTAATACAGAAGGAACTCCTGACTGTTGAGTTCATAGCTCAACTTCTTTGTGGTTGCTATGCTGCAGGACAAAAATTCCTGTCTTCTGAGGGCTTCAAGAACATGTATTGTAAAGCTTCTTGCCAAGAGGAACAGATGATTATGTTAATACTATCTCATAAGAAGGAAATGACAAGTCTAATACATAGCTCTTTCTTAGGCATTTTAGTTGAGTTTACTTTTCTGAAGTGGTTAGTTGGACTACAGACCAGTTTCAATAGCAGACAGTAGCTAGTGATTATATTAAATTGCTTAAAATGTGGTTATGTGAGTTAGACCTCAAATTCCATAAAAACACTGTCTCAGATCAGTTAATCTAAAGATAAAGTATATGGTATTCCATATAAATACGCTATATAAATAAGCATTTTACAGTTGTGAAATTACAACACCCAAGAGCATGGTAAAGTTTAATTATTTTCCATCACGCTTTCAGCACTCAGGTTATGATTGGGGTTTTCTTTTTGGAACATCTTACCTTTTATCGCCATAAGTAAAATTCTTTGCTTTTATTTTCCAGGACTAAGCATTTTCATCTGTGTTTTCAAACGCTTCTAAGATGATTTATTCCAGTAATGAGCTCTACAGACATGTCTGTACCTTATTTCATGTTACTTTCAGAGCCTAAAATCTTGATTTAGAATTCCTTTACACTTTAAACACTGTCCTCATATACTTAATCCTTCCTTAAGTAGCAGTGGTAGCTATACTTTAAAAATAAGTCTTTCTTGAAAAATAAGGTATTGAAGAGTCTTTAAACACATCCTACCTTTCCTTCATCCATTGGATTGTCACTAATGTGGACAATAGGTCCTGGGTGAGATTTGGACGAACTAAAAAAAAGAAATATTTCCATTAAAAAGAATTTCCTCTGCTCTAAACTGCATCTCAAAATTATTGTAAGCAATACAGGCTCTGCAGATACAGATTCCATGTAAGCAAGTTGTTCAGCGTGGAGTTACTTTCACTTTTTATCTTCAAGCCCATAAATACTGTGCCTATTTGTAGACACTTAGTTTCTGTCTTAAGGAAAGACTTATTTACTGCCTATCCACAAAAGAAAATTGCTATTACCTTTACAAAATTTATCTTAACATCTGTTGTTACACAATTGATACAGCTGGATAAAATGTTTACTTTTATGCTGGAAAACCAGCTATGGCATGAAATGCCCAAGGTGGCCATTGTTACAATAACACAGAATTAACACTTTATGTTAACTTCTTACTAAGAAGATGGACTAGAGAAGAGCTGTCTTTGTTTCAACAGCTTTGGAAACTGATGGACTTCATGTGTTTTTGAAAACAGACATACTGGGAACAAAATAACTGCACAGGAACAGAAGCACACAAGTATATCTTTTCACCCAAACCCCACTATATTTGTACACCCAAATTTGTCACTAAAAAAGGTAGAACAATGACAATAGCTGTAAAACGTATTTTGCTCTTGGAACAGGCTTATTTAAATTTAGGTTTTTAGACAGTCATTTTAAACTCAGAATGTATCATCAGCCCTCTTAAAAAATGCATTTCTTTACACTTTGGTCTTTAACTCTAAAGCTGTAGATGGGACATGTCTGTCCAAGTACCAGCCACATCATAGTTTAATATATATTATTTTTCTTCTATTTTAGCACTACATGTAATGATTTTTAAGTCTATTCCCATATTGTCTGTTTTGTGTATTTCTATGTGTATTCCAGGCATGATGATAAAATATTGTTATAGGCAGAAACATATATACTAATTAACACTTCACATTCATGAAAACAAAAAGTATTTACGTGACTACGTACTTTGATTGTATATTTAGTGTGCTGAGACTAATATGGAGGCCACTCTAAATAACGACATTTCTGCATGTTAATAACAAGTGGGACACTGCTGTTCCCTCCCCTCAACAGACAATACTTGACTAAACTCACAGTTCAATGGCTTTATTCCACATGATGACATAGCCTGAGAGAGTAAATGATTCCACATTGACAATATGAATGTTTCCTCTTTCGGTCCCCACATATAGCCACTTGCTTTGGAAAGGCAGATGACAAAATGTTATCCTGTAAGAGAAAGCCACCAAAAAGAAATTAAAGAAATGTTTTTTGGATATCCTACTCTTCAAGGCAGGAAAAATGCAATAGGCAAACAGGAAGGTATAAGACAAGTTCAAGTAGAAAAGGCAGTACAAGACAAAAGTACAAGATGGACAGACAATGGACAAACTTAGACTAAATAAAAAAATAGAAAGTGAAGTATTCTAAAACTCTTAAGTCATTCAGATAAGAAAAAATATAGACTCCTTTGAAAATTATCATATTGAATGTATCTGATCAAGATTTCTGTCATTTTTAACTTAAAATACAATACTCCTATATTCTACAAATCTCCCTTTGGAATCTACCTAGTCTCAAGTTTTAAAGAACTAAGGATTTTAGACAGTCTTTGAAATATTTGAAAACTTGATTATTTCTGTGCTCTTGGGTCCTGATTATTGTTGACTATTTCTTCAAGATAAGGAAATAATGTCTGTACAAATTGACAGAATGCTAACTTGAAACTGGAGTCTAGAAACTTTCTGGAAACTCTAAACCACTTTAATCTGACAAGGTCTAATATGAAAGTAACTACCAAACTACTTGACTATCAAACTTGGGCTTTCAGAAATGTTTCAGTGATAAGATAAAACAATTATTAAATGGAAATTGTTCTGTTAGCTCTAATCCTTAGCTTTACAATTTTTTATGTTCTTGTTTTTTCCCAGTTGGGTTGCCTTATTGCCAAATCCATGCATCACTTCACAAGCCTGTTAATAAGTGTTCATGCAAAGAACAGCTTTAGATCCTTTGCATTAGATGCCGTATATGCACACCAACTTGAGCAGAAAGGAAAAGCTAATGGCAGCAATGAAAAATTGCTATGGCTGAAGAGATGTTAATTTGCACTGCAGGTTTCAAAAGTTAAGGTTTCTGTAGTAACACTACCTGGATTCAAAAGCGTACCACTTTGTTTTTACATCACTAATTCCCTCTTAATTAGGAAATGCAGTTATCTCAAGCAAATCTTTAATTTATTTGTTTTTAACTTGATTTCTTTTCCTTGAACATTTATGCCAAAAAGATGCACTTTTTTCATTGATGTTTGATAGAAAAAAAGACCTAAAATGCTTCTCCAATTCATTGAAGTTATAGACATTGTAACACATTTAACTAAGCACACTATTCTGCAAAAACAACAGGTTAAAGACTTGTGTTTCCCCAACGTCCTTGAAAAAAAATATTTTAATGGAAGCTAAATCACAAACATCAGCACATGCACTTCCTAAGCAGGCAGTTACTATATATACAGCTAAAGGATAAACATAAACCCTCAGCACTCTGCAACACCACTACTTTACGTGTCAGCACCCTATATGCCAGAAGCAGCTGGCAACCAGATCAGCTGGATCAAAAATCATGGCCTAGCAGCCAGAAAAAGTATTCAGGAGCAGGGTTGTGGGCCTGTCTTGATTAGTAAGTCAATATTTGTCGATTACAGTTGTCCAAGACATCCATTATAAAAACCAATCTATTTCACAACAAGTAAAGTGGGCAAAATAAAAGTTGGGGCTGCATCTTTGATTGCTATAGCACAAGGGTAACATTTAAAAAAGTGCCCAGCTCCTCAATAATCTTGATACTCTTCTTGAATATGAAGACCTATTTAATTTACCGTCTCCTCTGTGCAACTGAGATTAATTTTGTCAAGAGTTAGCAAACAATGAAGTGATTCCATACCAATAGTAAATGAGAACAGAACAGGTAACTTCACAAAATATTTACAAACTCTTGAAGGCAGGAGGTTGAAGAGACTCCAAAATTGTGAAGTATAGGCACATAACTGGGTTCCTAACCTTATCTTTCAAAGTGTGCTTTTTCCCAGTCTTACACAAGCAGAACAAGTCTTGTATGATTTTTCTATAAACAAAAAAATATCCTTAGAGCTTTTCTTTCACAGAACAACCAGTTAAATCCGAAAGGAATTTGCCACAATGATCTTGCTAGAAAAATCAACGTTTCTCCTTGAATATAGTAAATGATACTCCATTTGCAAATAAAAATATTTACTGTTTCTTTATTTTCTTAATAGAAAAACTATGCCTTCCAACTTTCAGAAATTCAACTATATCTTGACCAAAGTGACTTATTTCAGATAACCGCATTTATTTTAGCAATTTACAGAGTAAAATTTCCAACATTAGAGTTCATGTACTGAGTTTGTCCCTTCACTGAGTAAGGCTTCACCTTAAACTATATAGATCTTAAATAACCTTGCAAGTTTTACAGCCCTCTTAAAAACTAAAAACCATCATCTGAATGGCCAGTGATGATATACTAGCATTGGTCATACGGGCTGCTTTTGGTGGCCTTTTTTGCTCTGCTGAGAACTGGACTGAGGATTAAAGAGATTCAGACTCATTTTGGAGGATGGAAACAAAAGGCTAGAGTCTTCTTGGTAGTGATGCTATCTATACTTGCTTATTTGACACTTGGCCAAGGACAGGATATATTTTTCTCTGAAAAAATGTAAATTTTTCTTTAAGAAACCTATCTTCCTGCCACAAGATTAGAATAATATACTTCATCCATAACATATTTTAAGATCAAGAGAAGTGAAAGTGGGCATTCACAAAAATCTTAATTGTTGTTGTTTCACAACATATATCAGAAGAATTACTACAGCAAGTGATAACAATTTCATTTTAGAGGAATTATAGAAATATTAAAGAATATGACTTATTAAATTAATATGTAAGTAAAAAAATTAGGTTTTTAAGAGAAGTATTATAGAAAAATGATAAGCTGCTATCTTGACTGTATTATTAGGACAACAGAAATCCTTCTAAATTCATCTTTACCTTTCCTTAGTCTACTGCATTATGAAGCATTATACATTCTTCAGAATTTTCCATTGCTTTAACAGAACACAGTGACAAATACTATGAAGTATGACAAAGACTGATAACAGGTCTCATTGTTAAGCCACTAAAACTATTTCTAGTGCCTCAGGCTATCATTATAGGTCTGCAGTTATTGTAACTATACTACCTGCTCTGACCATTATTGTATAAGCAACATAAAAATTTTCTAAGAAGCAAAGCATTAAGATACCAGAGTTGTACTCTGCACTCCTTTATCTTCAACCTCTCATGCATGAGAGAGGATAATGTAAAATTCAGAAGCTAAGAAGTTTAATTCTTATGTTAGCATGGATTCCACACCCATGGTTTCTTGTCAAAGCCTTCCAGGGTCTTAAAAAAAATCAAGAACCAGTGTCAGAATGACATACTGATGGAAGCAAGCAGTAGCTTTGATTCTGGCCTGCAAAGGGTCTTTTTTCACATCTGGTAACTGCAATTAGCTTAAAGCACCTACCTGTACAAAAAAAGCACTCAAAGACCAGAAGGCACATGCAGAGGAAGAAATCCTCTTCAATGTATCTCAAAATTTTCTACTAAAAGACCATGCAGGTAAATGCAATATATCATAGGAACTGAACCAGGTACTCCAGTTTCATTTATATCCATAACAGCACTCCAAATGGTGCTTCTCCAAATATATTGGCTTAAACAGCTGCCTCTTAAGGCAGCTGAGAAATACCTAAGTTCAATATCTGAGTTGTGGCAGACACTAGTGGTGTCAAGATGGAGTAATGGGTAAACGTGTTAGAGAAAGCTACTCAAGTGTCTTGTGATGCCATGGTCTGGTTACTTTTTGAGTCATCTCAGACATACCAAGAGGAGTTCACAAATATGTAGTGCAGGGTATTTCATCAGTGGTAAGGAATCATCAGATCTTTAGAGTGTTTGGTGTGAATTCCTTCAATACTGAAAAATTCTTTTCATTTTTGTATCAGTTGCCTCAAAAGGCACCTAGGAAGTCACAAACTCTGTTTTAAAATAAATAAATAAATGGTCATTTCAGAGATGTAGCTTTCCCACAGAAGACAGAAAAATTATGCTTGTCACGGATGAAGAAGTCTGTCAGATAGGCACGGCTTAAAGATTAGAGGTCAAATTCTGCCCAAGAACAGCTGGCCATTATATGCCTCGTACCACTGTGAAAGTCGGTGTGAAAGGAAAACAGCTAACAGGGCAACAGAGGCAATCTAAAAGCTGACTGAAATCTGAAATTTCTGAGTAACAGGATTCAGCACACTGGTTTGTCTCAGTGCCAAAAGGCAGCAGAAGGCAACTGATGCAATTACAGTTCCATTGACCACATTTGCATGTGGAATTCTGCACAAACGCATGGCCTCAAGACAACACTTTTCAAAGGAATCTGATCTTCATGAAACAAACATTCACATCTACAGCAAATCCAGGGAGTCAATAAATTCATCTTCTTCTGCTAATTTCCTGAAAGAAGATCAAACTCCTAATTACATCATCTAGTGGTTCACCACTGAGTTAAATTTTTAACCTCAGCAGCTAAAAGACTCTATATGACCCTGTCAAGTAAATAGACCCGGTGATAACTTCTTTTCACTCTAAAGAAAGTAATTTTAAAAAGGCTTAAAAAAAAACAACAAACCTTAGTTAGGTGCAAGAAACTTAGTTGTGTTGTATATTAAACTTGTAGTTGATATTTCACTGACTGCAAAGACTCCAAGTATTTAACTTCTCAGATTTATTGTTTTGGGTATGTATTTGTAATCCAGGGCAAAAGGGAAAAAGCCAGGCCTTAAAGGCTGAAGTGAAACAGTAATATTTATACAGAGAAAGGGGAAGAAAAAAACCACAGCCAGAAACACATAAACAATGTCTATCATTACCTGCTTTCACAGGCAAGAAAACCTGTATGTCCTTCTGCTATCCACAAAGTGGCAGAATTGGTCAGTTTATAAATTCAGTGACGTGGAAGAAAACTCTCAGAACTAACCTCTGCTAATGCACAGGTTGGGTACAAAATTACAGTATCTAACAAGGTAATACGTGTGACAACAGTAGTTTAAAGTCTTATTATTAATGAGAAGTAAATACAAGTGGGATTTTTCACTCTCTGTAGACAGAGTTTGTGTTTCA